TCTTTTACTATCGCTGGTAAAAAATCACCGGATCAGTTCCTTTAGTCATTTTACTATCCGCTCGTTCGTCCATCGCCTACTTCTCTCGTTTATCAACTACTACTCACTGCATGCTTTCGATTTCTTCATTTAGCTGTTATTATAATACACGTCGACTAGAGTAGTGACTCATGCTACCGCCGTCAAATTGGCACAAAATGTTAGTTGTATATACGTGCTGTTTTCATATAAACATTGCGCAGGAGTTCGCACTTCTAATACTGTTATTGCTCGAAAAATATTTATGTTGGCGTAGTACTAGGCGCTTTAGATGTATATATAGACTACGAACAGGGTTAGAGCATCGACTAAGCGATGACGACGTGCAGAAGACAAGTCTCATGCTTGAGGCCGTCGTCGCTCGTCTGTCCGCGGACAACATGAAGACTGCTTTACGGCCGGTTCCCTTATCCGACCTGCCGCAGCTGGACTACACAGCAATTGGCTTATAGATACTTCAGTTCGATTTTGCTATCCACGTCCGGGATTGACCCGTTTATCAGCCCCTGCGGGTACCGCTGTGGTGCTGTTAGAGTCGACAAAGCCGTGCTTTGGAACGATGCTTGAAGAGGCAGTATTTTGGAAAACTTTCCGATTGTGAGAACGCCGAGAGGCGGAATACTGCCTAACTACACCGGAGCGCGCACAGACTGCGCCAAAACCGGCAACCACATTTGAATGCGGGAGGGAACCAGGGAAAGTTTGGCCCGCGAAGTTCGAGGAAGGCATGAAGATCGAACGGACAATGCTGAGGCTTTATAGGAAGTTGCGGCCGCGTTACCATGGTCCATTTACTATCGTGGGTCGGATAGCTCCACATAGCTTTTGGGTTCCGACGTTTTTTGGCCGGCACCTGGCTATGAACGGAGAGTATTGACAGCAGTGCGCTGGAAAACATATTCCGGGAACATAGCCAAATGTAAAGATGCGTGCCGCAAATATTAATAAACATCATGATTCCTAAGTACATGCGGCCTAAGGCTGTATATAAAAAGCTGTTTGAACGCAGCTTGTCAGTAGCAGCGTTGTTATTCAGAGCAAGATAGTCTATTCAAATACAAAGAGGTTCATGAGTAACATCACTTATTATGTGATAGTAAGAAGGCAGCAGCAAATCGTCTCTGATTAGATCTACACACACGTCCGTGTCTAAGCATAAGCACATGTTTGCACACAATGATACGAAACTGCGTAAAGCGCTCGCCATATAATGCGTAAGTGTGTAATGTAAATGTCGGCACCATAACAAGTACGTTGGACAAGCACAGTGCTCCTAATAGGTTTATCCAGGTCGATAACTACCAGAGATGGTATATACGCTTTTACCCAACTTGCTTGCCCTGCTGGACGGGTGCGTTCGCTTTCGTGAGAGTTCACTCAGCTCGCTCAAGCGGTACCTGCCTTGCTAAGTTTTAAATGTCAGTACGGTTAAATCTTAACGCTTGGTGGATATATATCTATATACTAGAGACGGTAGCTAAAAAACATTAGAATGCCCGAATAACAGTTTGTGGTAACTTTTCGCCATTTCTATCTTCAACGCCCCCTGAATCATCTACCATTCAGCTTCTCGTACTCCACCTCCATATGCAAGCTGCACCTCTTGGTAAAGTTCCCTTTGGACCACGCATATTATAAGCTATACTTGGCGGAACTGGCTGTCACAACAGTAGTTGCAGAAAAACGCTCGTGTAGACGTGTGTTGGCTAACAATGAACAACTCCTTCATCACCATCAACACCCCAAAATGAGAGGGGACGTCGCTGCTAATCGAAACCGTTTGGGGAAGCTGTTGCCTCCCCTACCCGCGCTCAACACTACGTTCACGAATGCTTCCTTCGAATCAACTAGCTCCTAACTTATACACAGCCATACTGGCCTAGTTCTTCCATGAACCGATATCTAAAAACCCTTCTCGCTTAGAGATATTTAGCGAGAAAGATCGATGGCTAAAGAAGGGAATGAATGATTTCAACGAAAAGAAGTCACAGTCTGTGTAGAAAAAAACGCGCTGTAACTGCATGAAACTTTTTAGGTAGACAGCGTAGTTCAGAGAGACAATTCGAAAAGAAAGGGTTTTTCCGCTGGCCAGCTCGTGTGGTTCGCGTTTTTTCCTCATGCTAGCCAACTCAATTGCCCGCTCATTCGAGAGAATTATGCACTTCTCTAGCGGGGAAAGACAGAAGTATCGCTGCTGCTGCCGCTATTAGAACGAGTGGTCAAACAGTCCAACAACCGCTCCAGCATTCAACTGTATTGCAAGGTACAGCATCGATTGTAGCTGCAACAGCAATAGAGAGTAAGTCTTTACATGTTCTACTAGCGGCAGTATGGCTACCACTGATCGAAACAGCAGAGAACACTGGCCGTGGCTGGACCGCAACAAAAAGCCTAGATAAAGTCTCCGCGCACACCAGTTTCTTTCGGTCGTCACCGCCACCAGTTCCCCCTCATGAACAGCTCCCCGTGGGCAGACGCGCAGATTGTCGCCTAGCCAGCTACGATGCCACAGCTGAGGTGCGCAAGTAGCAGCAATAGCAGTCTGCTTGTGGAACACCCTCTCCGACGGATAATTTATGGGGAACGAAACACCCCTGACATCTGCTGGCTAATATAGCTTCTTTCATAGCCCCCGCTTATTACACAACAGCCAGTTCCTCTCCGAGGTTCACCTAAAGATTATCAGACGACAGCGGTGGCGGTGGTTGCGGGACCAGGGTACGGCACGATAGCACCCTGTTGGGCTCGTTATTTAGCAAATAATCCTTGCATTGCATAGTCATGGCTAGAGAATCCTTTCAAAAAAAACGAGCTGTATGTTTCTGTATACGATTTGGCAAAGAGGAGCAAGGAAATCGTTGTTTTTTCGCATCACAAAAGGGCAGAACTGTGCACGCCAAAGCCTTCGATCTACATGGCATTCCCACAGCCCACATAGGTCAGATATTCATGATATGGATTCGGGCACCAAGGGGCGAAAGTTGTGGACGCAGCTAACGAACAGGCTGCTTAGGAGAGGTATTGAGCAAGAGAAAACTACATGCCCTACGTCATTAAACAAGCAAGAAAAACAACAGAAGTAACGCATACGTGTTTGATTTTATTTGCAAATCAATAGCAGTAGGTAATTAACGAGTGAGCTATCATTTAAGAATACTTTTGGAGTGACACGTGGCTACATAATAAGATCCATTCAAGCGAGCTACTCCATTCTTTGTTGTACGGTGGCGCACGTTATACTATCCGTTCCAATCAAGTAAATCAAATTTTATTCAGTATTAGATCGTTTATTCGCATGTATCGTGAAGGAAATAAAGCCAGGATGCAAACACCTGGCGACACAGTGGATTATCAAACGATGCAATAACGGGCATAATGCGGCCTGCGGTGAATTTCGAACGACGATGTTATCCTCAACAACCGTTTAACATTCAATTTTTCTAGCGACGCCGTTGAGGCACGATTTCTGAAATAGGGGCACGATACGCCCCAATTGTTATGATCTACGATGATCAAATAGTACACGACAGTAGACTTGAAAGGTTACCCTCGTAAATCTCTCCACCATAAACTATAACGCCCTTGTGGCTGAAAACGAATCCGTCTTAGACGCCCTTACCGAATCTATTTATGCTCATTCGACATGGCAGTGCACTCTACATATATACACCTTGTTAGCTAGCCTTAGGCTGCCTCCTTTTTAGGGCCCAGTACTGACGTTGGAGCAGCCATAAAAATAGAGAATGCAATAACCAGCTATGCTAGAAGCGCTATCCAAATAAAGGGCTAGCTACGAAGTGTTGTAATCGATCCAAATCCCTATACGAACTTAATCTGCATAAACTAGGTGCATGCGTTGTTTGAAGTAGTAAGATAAAAAAAAATAAACAAATAACGCATCGCATACCAATGAATGAATGAATGAATGAATTTGGTTTATTATATCTATTGAGCGAATCAGTTAAATGAAACTTGGATCATTTATTCAATTTCGACGCTGCTTATACATATGTTTGAGAAATATCTCACTCAGACTTCATGCAATTTTGACCCATTTATAACCCCTTTGCATCCGTGGTACAAGTGCAATCCTGTGACATGTGCTCTTTGCTGGCTGCGACAGCTTGTCGTAACACTTCAGTTATAATGGGCGCTAACGTACGCTGAGCATAGGCTGCCATGAATTGTAGTATAAACGTTTATAAAGCTAAAGGGACAAACATAAGGGGAATCACTCTAAAATCGAACTTAATATTGGAAAACAATTTTTATTTTGAAATAATAGTGATATTCCATGTATTCATACCATGCACGGACACCATTGTGAGCTCAAAACACGAGCCACACATCACCACCGGACAAAAACAACTAAAACTCATATTACAGAATATAAGTTACAGTAGGCATGAGTGCTTGGTCCAGCTGTAAAGGCAACAATATTCTGTGAGCAGATAGATTAATAATGCATGTATTCGTAATAGCTTTCTGCAACTCAATAATGCGATTTTGACCTATTTATAACCCCTTTGCATCTGTGGTACTAGTGCAATCCTGCGACATTTGCTCTTCGCTGAATGAAGCAGGGTTTACCGTTCCTTTTCCACGTTTCTTGATGTTTCCGCCAGGAACACGCAAACGAAAATGGGAGCTCTGCAAGATTCTCACTTTCACTATAAGGAAAATAAACTTTATAGGGAAACAAAGTACTAAGACTGAACGGCCACTACCATGACGTCATGCCCTAGCGCGAATCGTCTCCCAAGATGAGCTTGCCACAAATTTGTTCATCGCCACCTGATTACGCTAATTGTCGGTAATACGGGGTAATTACAACTGATTGGCACACAGGAAAAGTATCGGCAAAGCACCGACATATGCGGACTATTATCACATAATCAAGCGTCCGATCGACGAGTTAGATAATGTACTGAGCTTGCTATTGTTTTTGTTCCATTTTTCAGGAACGCCCCTGGTCGGGTTTTTCTCCTCGCGCACGGTGGATCTATCATGGACCACGTCGCGTCATGCTCACCACTCGCCCATTCTCCATTACATCATCGAAATTCGGGTGGGCGAGCACGGAGAGTGGGATTCGCGGAATCGCGTCATGACTAAGGACAACGTGACCAGGCATCAATTGATTGGGCTACAGCCCTTCACTGTGTATTCCTTCCGGGTCCTCGCCGTCAACGCAATCGGAGCTTCAAAGCCGTCCAAAGAGAGTTACTATATGATCACATTGCGAGAAGGTAAGCAGCGACTAATCCACAGAAGCCACGTGCAAATCTGTCGCAAATAACCACTACCGCTGGCTTCGGTTGGTCGAGGCGCTTTGAGGGCAATTGAAGCTGACTAGAGCTTTACTTACTATAGATGTATAATGATTCGATGACCAAATTATCACGAGAAGGCGCCTTTTTTACTTGGTATTTGGAAAAGTCAAATTGTCGTGGCGTTTCTGGAATGCACGCTAGGACACTGAAATGGGTTAAACGTTCAACACGGGTTACTACCTTTAAGAAGGAGCATTGTCTTGTTTTCCAGAAGAAAATTCATATCCGCAACTTGTCAATTGTGATAAAACTCATTCTCTAAGCTAAAACAGTGAGGACGGATTTGCATTAGTCTTTTTACTTTCTCTTTTCTAACAAACATTTCATCATATGACTCGAAATGGATAGATACAAGGACACGCATAGAATTTGAACAGTAGCTTAAAGTTAGTCGTGGACGATTTGAGAAGGGCTGTTTGTTATACGTTGTCGATGCTCCGATAGTCGTTAAACAATTTGTCTTATATATTGAATGAAATGGAACAAGGTACCCACAGTTGTCTGTTTCTCTAGTAAGATAATAAAGCAAGTGACTGGTATTCATTTTCTTCAGTTTTTTAATAGTCATACATACATATTTTTAAATGCTGGTTTCTCTGTGGTACCTTATTCTGAGAACTAAACATTTCGAAAATGTCGCTGCTTTCGTGTTTCAGTTGGGTTGAAATCCGTTAAGTTCGAACATTTTTACACTTTGAGCGAGCACCTAATCCTTGGGTACGATATGATAGATTAAAGACGTTCGACCAATATCTATACAGGTACATATCCAATCAAAAGCTAGCAATTGCTCTCTGTTATACTATACATATGATAGTTAGCAATGCGTGGCACGTTTCTCTACTTCAGTATCGTTTGTTCGCTGCTGAGGGCTTTTAAGATGCACGTTATACGAATAGGCCATTATCTATTAGATTGGCAGCGGCAGAATACACAATCACTTCAGTTCAAAACGTGCTTTATTAATGACGTAAATACCGCAAATATGTAAAAGGCAGTGATGTTTCACATCCGGCGGTCCACGATAATCAGTATTAGCGCAGAGGAATAATAGATGAGCATATGAAAATGACTAATAAAAGGGGAAGAGTGGGACAAATTAAAAAAAAAGTGGTAAATGAGCTGTTCAATTTTACGGCGTAGTTATAGCAGTTACAGCATAAAGGGGAAGGGAAGAGGTTTATCCTGAGGTGCTAAGGTTCATAACCAAATCCTGAATAATTAACTTGATGAGATTATTTCTTTTGAGACATGCAAAAGAGAATTTCAGGTTAGCTACAAAACTTATCCGTAATGGCGGTACGTTACAATAACCCTTGTTGTATATATAGCTTCGAGCAGCCTGGTATCAATTTTTAGAGGATACGTAAGTACCAGCGCAATATTTTTCCTCACATGTCTCTCTTCACTTATTTTACTAAACCGGTCTGGACCGTGTTGGCCGAACATTTTCTAGCAACATCTAGTTCGCATCGAGTGAAAGTTTCTTTGAAGAATGTAACGTATGCGTTTTAGTTAATATTGAAACCAGACACGGAAATTAAGCTCTTAGTCAATTATATATACTGGTTGCTGCTTTCGTAGTTATTCGCCATATCGTAGTTACGAATAACTACGCTCTAAGGAGCATCGATCCAAGTTAGTGAGACCTACTAATTACTTTTCTTCGGTACCTATCTCCTGTAATACGTCCTGCAAACCGTGTTGCTGAACCTTAGCCTTCGATACATGAATTTTTACTGCGAAAGAACTACAAACAGGTTAAACGGTAAGAACACACTGGGGGGAACGACGCTGAGGCTATTTGTTCCATGTTAAATGGTAGTGGCTCAAAAATGGTGGCCAAGAATTAAATCTAAGCATTGTTGTTCGAAACACTCTTTGTATTTGAGGATTCATTATTAAATTTAAATAAAAGAATCACTTCTACCGAAATTTAGGAGCCTCCTAAGAAACCCAGGTGTCAGATTGACGTCGACTGTGGGTAACAATCTCAATATCAACATACGTACACGAACCTTGAAGTCGGCTCTCTCACGCCTTGAATCTCGTTCTTGGCTTATCTCTCTTAATTTGACCTATCTCCTCCGTACATTCGCTTTTCTCTTATTATATCGACTTTGCTTATCCTATTTAGAGTCTTACTTTTAAAGCACTGAGCTAAAAGGTAAAAAAAACTCAAAGGGTCTCAAGCCAGTTTCGAAGAGCCAATAAACAGTGAGTATTAGAGGGGCCACAAACAGTCATTAAAGCAGTTGATCATAAATGTTGGTGTGAATTCTCTGCTTGAGCTGAAGTGGTCGCACTTCAACGTCAGAAAGGCCTGGAACAGGCTTGAGTAAAGTGGGATCAGGAGCTGCTCGAATGTGTTTCTTGCGATACCCACAGGCTGTGTGAACACCTCCTGAGCCAGTTTGCCTCGTCTTTACCACTAGCAAACTGATTCGAAAAAGAACCATAAAACGTGAAACTTTAGTAGTGCCAAAGGGTCGACAAGTGATAGATCTCTCGCATGAGGTCCTTTGTATGTTGAAAACGTTCCTTCTATACTCCCCGCTTTTATGTTGGCAGTACTCCCAAAAACAAGTATAGCCAACCCAGACACCGCCTTCAGGTGATTGTTTAGGACATCGGAAGGTGACAGTGTTGCAACGTTAGCTTTGTCTGTTCAAACGAGTCGCGTAGCTAGTGGAAAGGCGGCGGATTTCCAATAGAGACTCGGGGTCTGTCTGCTGTTCGAATACGCAGAGCTAGTTAAAAGCTAGGGTCATGAGGGGCTTATGTGTAAATAGATATCAGATAAAAAAACAACTGTAAGGTGGAAGTTGCATCGGCACTCGATGCCTCTAGAAAAAGAGAGGAATAGAGAGCAATAGAGAGAAAGAGGTGTTTGTAAATTAATGATGTAATTTTGATATGTATATAACTTCATCCTCAGACTATTCGCTAATCAGACTAATAATGTTTGATCCATAAGTGCTTTTGTTCGGTAATTAGCTATCAATGCTAAGTACCTTGTCCTCTACCTCTATTGAAAAAGACTTCAAACTGGTCCTGATAGCCTGAAGAAATATAATCAACTCCAATAGCTTTTGTTGAAGCTTATGCTAAAGTTTCTGAGTTTATATATGCTGCTGAGTCACTAAGAAGTCTATTATCTATTATAAGTTGTGTTTTATCAAGAACCTGACATATATTCAATAATAAACTACTAGTATGAGTGTATTTACATACGCTTATGTGACAAGTAAATGAAAGAAAGATCGAGTTCTTGATTACTTCCATTGATTCCATTGATTATTAAAAGCCTGTACTGTAACCAGATTTAGTTACGCATTGTTAAGCTGCCTTGCGAAAAAATGACATTAAAAAAGATTTAACAGGGTGAACCACAAGAGGATAGCCATTTACGAAACCAGATCCGATTACTTTAGATTTCCACTTGCTATATTCACTACTTTTATACATGTGTGGTAAAATGAGGAGTCCTCTTTCCTGTATACAATGGAATCAGCATATATATATATATATATATATATATATGAATCGAATACATCGTTTTCTTACAGGACATTTGACCTGTCTTCTATAACCTTGAGTGACTAAACAACATTGAGTGGTGTTCGAGTTCAAAACCACTGACTTTAGAAAGCGGAAAGCGCTAGAAGCGTATAAAGTGATGGCTAGCTTATGTCTACGAGACAGACGTCTTAGATAGCCCGAATGAGTCATGCAATCACTACGGAAGGCCAGCCACCCCGTCAGGGAAGCCCCGCAATATGATTCTAGAGATGGCAACTCAATCAGCTCAGCATTGGGGGTATACAGCGTCAACGAAAACAGCAACAAATTCTTTCGCCATTTATCGTTTTCAAAGATAATGCCTTTCTTAGGGATCCTACAGAATAGCAATTTCTGCGGGCTTCCCATCTTGTTTATTTCATTATTATTTGAATTGAGGAGAAACATGGTAGAACGACAGAAAATAGAACACATCTCATGTCAGCTTACCTGAAGTTTTTAAAATATCACGTATTATTGCATAACGCATGATATATTTGAAATATAGTATGTGTCTGTTGTGTATAATCATTATGTTAGTATTAATTTGTTCCTAAATGTCTATCGCGCCCATTAAAAACGTTTGAGAAAGCTCTGATTTAGCTGAGCTATTCCTCTTTTAGTTCGATAGATTTTCAAATGGACTATTCGCATAACGTTTTTTTTCTGATTACACGTTTTTTGCCGAATCTACCTGTGTGTGGAAGAGCAGTATCTATATTTAGGAACCGATATAGATGGAAATATGATTCTGATGTGTCCGCAAGATGTATTTGTTGTAACTGTTTGTTAGAAATACGGTATTATCTATTTGTATCGTATTCCACAACGCGAAGATATGTGTGCTGAGACGGTTTCTTATGTTTATGTGCATAAGGATATAGGAAAGATTTCGTTATTTACGTAGATATGTAGAAATAAGACCTCATCTAATCTAGTTCATATACAAATTTGTTCTGTTTCCGTCCGGTGCCATCCTATAACAGTGCCCGAAGGGAAGCCCCACATCGTCTACGCACAGAACACTTCATCAACCTCTATTCGTATTCAATGGACTCCGCCGCCGAAAAACACGATTCATGGGGAATTCGAAGGATACCGAATCACCTACAAACAACGAGATCGACCAGACGACGAGGCTAGGGAAGTCGTCATACGAAATAGCCAAACAACGGTAAGTGATGAAATTAAAACAAGCATAGTAATCAAGATAAGAGCACAATGATAGCTGATTTACCTCATTCGACCTTTGTCCTAGCGCTTAAGGCAGGTACCACATTGCAGTTACGTTCTGCTTACAGTGCCTAATCAATTCTAGTTTTTCGCTTCTTATATACGTAAATGCTATGAATGACAAATCCAGGTATTGAAGTTGTTAAGACCTAAACAATAATAATGAACAAGTAAATCACATTTGATACGCTTTTAATAATAATAATCGACTATTGTCTGCTTGTAATTTACTAAATTAAAAAAAATATATTAATTTTCTTAGCAATATAGTGTATATGCTTTAATCTTGAAAAAGTACCAAACACGGATGGCAACCATAAAGCAGAAGATTCAGGAATGTTGGCCAAGATTAGGTTTCAGATATAGAGATGCACTCCCAGGTTACGCGTTACAGCGTTAAGCTCACACGTATTTCGTTACGAACCAACCACTGGTACAATCACCGAATGACAGAATCTGACACACAACAACTCGCAGCCTTAACAACACTCCGACAATGGTGGCATCTATAACATCAGATAGATGGAGCAGTTTGCGTTCCATTGTGGCTAGCTTGGCTTTGCAAGCGTTTTTTTTAATATTCTATGTTCTGACGTTGTGTAGCGCTGTTCTGCTGCCGCTGTGATGCTATTTTCGGTTAGCGTTGCCTGCATCGCATATCTATTTGTATTCTATGAGCTGTTGCTTTGTCCATACGTTAGTCTGCCTGTCGTTCTCTATTCCATCGCTTCGTCTCTCTCACTTTCTGTCTCTCTCTCTTCCTGTCTCTTCCTCCACCGTTCGTCTGCCGAGCGTCGTCTGCTTTTACAACCAGATGTTACATTTGTACACAACGAAAGTTTCGCTCTGTAAAGTCTTCTGCTAGTGCTATGTTCTGCTGCTGGTCCTCCTCATCCTCTTGGTTTCGTGTTTTGTTGCTCTTGACCTCTTCGTTGGCTGCTGTGTATCCGCCGATTCGCTGCGATCGCTCCTCCGCTGTTCGTCGTTACCAGCATTCGCAATTTCGCTGGCTCTTCTTCTTTTGCTCACAGCAGCCGCGGCAGCAGCGCTAGAAGAAGGAATCAACCAGAACAGTGTAGAACAGCCCAGCGCTATACGGTATTGCCTGTATCGTTTGGCGCACGCGCGAACACCTCTGACTGCGTCGGACTCCAGTCGTTGGTGATGCCTGTGCGGCTGCTTTGTTGTTGTTGTACTTGTCGTTATCGGCGTTATCGTTGACATTGTTACTAGTGCCCACTGCCACTACTGTTGCTGATGGCCAACACAGGAAATCACAACGAACACAAAGCACAGAGCGCCGGAAAGCAGCAGCAGCAGCTGTTTCTTCTTCTTGACTACGGGGGCAGCAGCGATGCTTGCAACTGCAGCAATGCGGTTGCAGACGGATAACTACACTTTTATGTTCCACTGCGACTTATCTAGAGAGAAGGGATACGCATACAGACAGATCTGAATTTTTTTCGTGTACGCTGCATAAATCGTTGATCGTATTAGTTGACGCAGCTCACTCTTAGCCCGAAACGAAGTGCGTCTAGTTCGGAATTCGGACCTAGACCACCGTGTCTCCTCAAGCTTAATACGCAAACACGTCACCCACTGCGCTATCATGGCCGCATATAGACAGGTCTGTAGAAATGTGCACGGACCTCATAACACTTATTCCGCGCTCACGCACAGACAGACAGACAGTGGGTGAGTGACTGAGTGAGAGGAGTGCTGTTGCTATTGTGGTTGCTGTCGAGCTTGTAGCCACAACAGCTACCAGCGAATGCAGAGTGAGAAGGAGGCAGCCGGACCGAGCTGGCAAAGCAGAGCCTTGGAACCGAATGCGAAGCACCGCACTGTGCGGATAGAATACTCCGGGAGTAAAGCTAGTAGCAGCAGCAGCAGCAGCAGCAACGTCCGTCGTAGAGTTGTTGTTGCAGCGCAGCAACGGGTTCCGTAATAGTGAACAAGTAGTGGCAGTACTGGAGGAATGGTTGAGTAGTGGTAGACTGAAAAGGCAGGCAGGGGTCCGTCCGTAGGGTCGAACAACCGGCCCCAGCCGCCGTAGCTTGAATAGCAACAGCAGAATACCGTAACAGCAACGAAGTGTATTCGTCTATCTATGTATTTTATACAGTGCTACGAGACAGTTGACTATTGCCGTATTTGACCTCATTAGTGTTACAATTGTTGTTGTTTTTGTGCTAGCTGTAACAGCAGCTGTATACTTCGTCATCGTCACGACTGAAGTTGCAGTTTTCGAAGTTAGTTCGTTGTCGTTCGTTTGTACGCTCATTAGTTCGAACTGCCGTAGGGGCCTTAGAACAGTCGGACAAGCCGAGGTGAAGGGCTATTGTCGAGATCGAAGTGCTCAATCGCAGCTCTGAGACTACTGTTACTGTAGCGTCGTACATCGTACTTCAAAGTGTTGAGTAACTGGCAGCGATAGCACAAGCAAACGGAGAAGACGTTTATTGCCGACCGCATGAGATAGAAAAGTCTCAGTTGTGAGTGCTGAAATAATAGGAAGCAGTGTCGATTCGGTTATCGGTGGAATTCTATACAACTACTATATTGTACCGTATGCTAGCCCGTCTTGTTGTGGACAGGTCGTTGTACAAACGAATCAGTTGGATCAGAGGGTGGCACTGTACAGCAGAGCTCGTGTCTTCGACCAGCAGCGCTTTTAGCCTTTCAAATTTTTTCGGAGCTATTTCACGCCCGGTTAGAAGTTCAGCGGTCCAGATATATCAACATACATACTATCAGCAGCGCTGTGTTTGATCTTAAACTCGTCTGTATCCCACAGTGAGTCATCGTGGACTAGGCAGCTAAAATGGCGCGTCAACGAAACGAACACCATGTGTAAAATACACTTTAAATAAGGTTCGTCTATTTATTCTACTGACAAAGTTAACCGTTTTGCCAGTTAGTGCGCCTAAGATGTACTATTTGTTATTTTTTGATGTACTATTTGCTATTTGTTAATTTTTACCGAGTGGAAACGTATAATATCTTGTAAGTGCTCTGTGACATCAAGATCGAAGACAACGCCAGTTGTTGTTAATGATATTGTTTATTGTTATTTTGATTAGGTTACAGCCGTCATTGAGATTGCCACTACAGAGAAGATAGGGAGATTGGTCAGGTTATGCAATAGATATTATGCACTAACTGCGCAACGTACCGATACGCTGATATCTAGAGAGTTATGAATAGAAGCTATAGTAGAGATACCTTATGTAGTTAGCAACAACTCTCAAAAGGCCTTACGCAAACGTAACAACACCAATCTAGGCAAAGTTCTTCGTACAAGTACTATGATATGTGCCATTTTAATCGCTTATCGACGCCAAGGTATTTGATATTTTCGAATGCGTTGAAAGCAAACGCAACGTTTAATGTACCTTGTAATGATCGTGGAAGGTCCTCGTTTAATGAGATCACACACTAAGACAAAATATACGCACGTCAGATAACTCAACAACTGAATCTTAAAAGCCTTGTGATCAAATAGTGAAGCGATACTCTTGAAGTTAGCTCGAAACATGAACTGCAGTCGATATCCACCACATGCTAGACTTTGATACGGACCAACTTTAAAGTTTCACTGTTGAGAAACAAAAGCCGTAAAATTAGTAACGATCGAAAGTGGAAACTCGACCGAACTTTGTACCGTATATATGCATTTCTTTTGGAACAGCACATTTTTCGTGTAGTTTAGGCAAAGCAAGGAAAAGAAACTCGTCGTATTTAGTTCCTTCCGTTTTCTGTCAATTGAAAGTCTGTCAAATCAAAGAAGTTTTGAAGAAAACCATTCAGCAGGATGATACAAAGAGCTGTTTGTCTCACCCTTCAAGTTACCCAATCGCGATATCTGTACCAGTTATTAGCCGAGGTCGTGCTGGTTGAAACGTCTGGATTCATACGATAGGCATATTTGGAACAGCTGTTCACGTACTAGGTGCTGGTAGAAGACGAGGTTATGGCATTTACGAACTGTGCGTTTAATCATCGCCAAATGCGGTGTTTTCTCGATGAGCGCACGCTGTAAAATGCGACTTTACCAGGGGCGGCTGCAGGGGCCCTAACTCAAAGGATGAGTGTGTTTGAATTCTTTCCTTGTCGCAAAAAGATGCTGGCCAGCAATATTGGCTTTTATGCGTGTCGTTCAAGCGCCCAATCTTTTCGAAGGCTTTAAAGCGAGTGGGTTTAAGAATACCAATAGCTTCGAAAGAAATTATTTGCCATCGTTACGCCAGTACAGTTTTTTTTTTTTTTCAAATTAGAGTCGCCTGCCGATATCACTCTTCAACAATGATAATTATAGCATGCTAGTTTTGTCCAAGTTTAGTCCAAGTGTTCAAATAATCACCCCGTACGATTACGACGTTGATTTTACAGTGTTAAGAAAGCTCGCTTTTTCTCTATCTTAACGACATTTTGTAAAATACAGAACTAGAGTTTAGCGAACGTTTTCCGTTATTCAATTATCCTGTCATTCGGTGTCATTGATGCTCTTGGGTCTTCCAACGAATACGCTAAGCCCTGTGATGTGTATTTAGCTATAATGAGTGATGATTGCTATATTTCTTCTATGGGAAAGCCGCAACTATACGATTTTTCTAAATAGAACACAGCCGTAAACAGATATGAACGGCACATTTGACATATGTTTAACGACAGTCAGTGTAAAAGGATATCGCTCGTACTTGTTCTATGTAAGTGCAGACGGTTCTGCGAATACAAACAGGTATGTCTTGTCATATACAACCGCAACGTCTAAACTCTAGTGATGCAAGGTGGAACGGTCTTTATGTTTGGTCAGACTCATTGGACATTTTGTTACGGAGCTAATACGAGTCCTCGTTGCACGGCTTTTTCGCGTAAGCACACACGAGATCGCTGCCGGCCCGTTGATCAAACCGGTTATACTGTAACCGTGTTGTCTAAGATGTACCCGAGAAACAGAAAAAGAGGGGGAAAAGGAGATAGGGGAGGTCAAGATTGAAACCGTAGAATTCTTGCGTTGTGGAGATCGACAGCATTCATGACATCAGTAAATTAAACAGACGACGATAACAAACAACGCTGGTTTGTCCAACATCGGTGGCAGCAGCGGCTGCAGCAGTAGGAACAGATTTTCACCACAGACGGTAAACGCAAGAAATCGTTGTCGCTTGCGCTGCCGAGTAGCCCAGAAGCGACAGGGTTGATCGGTTCCCGTGGCGGCAACGATGTGCTTGCTTGTGAGATACAGCTAGACGCTTTCGGCAACGGCGTTTGGGACGACGGGAAGGATGGACCGACGTCTGAAAACAACGGCGTCGGCTGGAGCATTTTATGAGACTAGAGTATTTCGTTTTTTTATATAGCGATTGGGCGCAAAATCTTTAATCTATGACCCGTGTTGGCTATGGGGCGCATTCACAGTGCATAGACAGACGTTTACATGAAATTTGAGATAAATTAACCCTAGTTTAATTACGGAAATCAGCGTACATGAAAGTTTGTTGAGTTAATCCATCTGTTTTGATTCATCACTGTATAACTTAGGCTTGTCAGTTCACTGCGCCACAAAGTGAATGGGTTTCTATTGTTAAGATTTGCGAGCTTAAGCCGAACCCAGTCTGAGGTGAATGCTTTCAGCGGATGACATGTTGATTCGATAGGATTGCATTCAATTGTTACACTATCGCCCAACGCCATATATTTACTTAAAATTTCTGAACATCTGGGACAGAAGTATCTAAAGTGAAAAAAAGTGTTCCATAGCTCAAAAAGAAAATAATTCGACATCCTCCCAAAAATTAGGGGGGATACACGATTGCTTGAGTTGTATTTATTATCCTAAAACAACAGATAGCAGGGGTCTGGATGTCAACTAGTTTAGCATCAAGCGGAACATCGATTACTACGGACATTTTGCCTTTACGTTGGTGTACCGGTACGACGCGTCCTTTTTAAAAGTATAAAGAAGAATTTCATCGGTCACCAAACGCTTCGAGCTCTGCAAGTGTGCAGACAGGATCGAAAAATTCTTTTTTTCATGCATTAGATTGACGTGTACCTAAGCCGATCTACGTAGGACCTTCCTTGTGACTTTGAAACACTTTGAACAACCCGATAAACTATATGGATCTTAGCAGCGTTGCTTTGTTTTTGCGTAGCACATTTAGACTTGGCACAAAACGAAGGAAGGAGAATGTCAGCTAGACCACGAAAAATCTGACGTTGCCTCTATCGTTGTATGCGTGCTCTCTGAGATTTAACTAATCGTCTCGTTTGTTGGTTTATATACCGGCGCATAAACGATTCAACGACATTTAGAGATTCAAAGACGACCAATTGGCTCCCTCCTTCTCACTTTATATGCAGCTTGTAGCAGAGCAGCGCGCTTTCTAATGGGTCAGGTTATAGTCATCACCATGCGCCCGTTCGCGGCCCTGTAGCCACAGTTTCTCGAACGACTCCTCTGCTTATCCTTCTTCAGGAACCAATTGCAGCGTTAAAAGATCTTAGTGAAGTAAACAAATTATAATCGCGGCATGTAGTGTGCGTATAGGTCGCAAAGATAGTTACGACTTATAGACTAGAGCAAAGGCAGAATAATGAAACAGATTGATTAGCCGATAGAAATAAGACAAATATTAAGCAACGAGTTTACGCACGAATGGCAGATGGACCTAATGAAATCGTAGCAGACTAAAGAAGAATCAGATATCTTAGGGATTATCACTACAACTGATACTAAAATAACAAAACGATTTAACTCTCATGCCTCATATGTGGCAGTAAATCATACTTTTAAGGCGCATCAATAGTGGTAGTCATGCGAAGCAAAAAAGAAGCAACTACGTTTTATTATCTATTTTGGGTACCGCTATCATTTATTTATATTTATGCTATCATTTATTACATGGACTGTGCTGTTGCCGTTCGATGAGTTTCTCTTAATGTATCACTTAGCGCGGCCTATAACAACATTGAATTATTTAACTGTGAGCGATTGCAAGGGTGGGCAAGCTGGGAGGGCGCATTAGCCGATGCGGAGGTTCTCTTTTGGCCAAAACATGCAGTAGTTCTCGAATACGACGCTTAAAACTGAGAAGATTCCGTCAAGGATCTGGTTGTGACGACATTACAAGTGCTACATCTATTGGGCTTCAGACTAGTATTTCGATCTACATCCTCTCACTATTATGGGATAAAGACAAATTTATTAGGCATTAAATATGACAGAGCTTTCGGCAATGTGTCTAATTTCTATAGTGGGCTTTTGGAAGGAACGAGAGAGCAACCGAAGGGCGTCAAGCGAAATTACGCATAGCAACAGGACTGAATTTCTCCGGGAGCATTTGTGAATACACGTTGTTTCATCCAAATATTGACTAGTAAACATAACTTACACATTTTGAAATTTTCTAATCTAAACTTTTGCGTACGTCGATCCATTGAGTATTTCGAATTAATCGTAAACCTGTCCGTTCGACTGGGCGTTTTGCCTAAAATTTTCTAGTGACAAATGCCACTTAAAGCATTATTCGTATAGTAATGAATTATAGATTATTGCCCTTGCTTTCGAAATATTTCTACAGATGTATAGCCTTTTGTATTTTTCCTAGCTGTGCACGAGTTCACCCGACGTCAATTACTGTTTGCCAAATATGTAGTTACCCATTAAATAGATGAAAACGCCCACTTACTCAGTTTGACCGAATATTCACAGGGCCCACAACAAAAAAGGAGACCTGCCTAATTCTGCGTTAATCTTCCTGGGTTTTATAGGAAAGAAGCGGTATTTGAGAACGAGCGATTCTTTGGCTCACACTTGAGTAGTTAGGATTATCTCAAATAAGTCATCTCTAAATAGCATATTTGTTGTTTTGAATTTGACTGATAGAGCAGGTATGCCTTTGAGAACTTATGGATTTGGCTATATGTTGGTGAACGTGACCCTACACAAACCAAGCGAGGCACTCGTTTGCAGTGTAGCCTGTTAGCGCATATAGGTATATTAAACCATTTCACCCTGGTAGTTTCTCGTACTAGTTGATTCAGAAATAACTTCTTTGTCGTTAGAACATAAGAAAGTTCTTTCGTATCAGTTTGCAGAAACAATCGAGTTAGGTAGTCGAGCCTACTCAGATAAACAGCCTTGCCGCAAGGACTTTTGGTAATTGACTCAATTTGTCCTAGTTGTGCAGTAGAAGTACCGTTTCATGGTATTCATTGGCAAATAGCCTATGCCTTTGCTTGAAGAATAAGTTTAGAGAACGCTTTGCACGATAGATGGCTACGATAGTTTGTTGTTCCGCTCAATGTAAACTGTCTACTCTATAGAACCTTATTGTATCTGCTTACGTTGCGCGTTCTACCTTTTCAAATTTCAGCACTATACGATCCGAAACTTGGAAGTGTGGACACAGTACCTTGTGTCTCTTCAGGTATTTAATCCGGCGGGCCGCGGTCCGTCTGTGGTAGTACCGGTCATGACAGACGAAGGGATTCCCTCGGCGCCGATGAACTTAACGGCGGATAAGGTCACCCAGGCCAGTGTTCTGCTACATTGGGCCGAACCAGCCCAACCTAACGGTAAGTGTGGGGTGGATCAGTAGGCTACTTCAAGCCGGACTCTACGTGACAATTTTTCGTCAACCCAATCATAGTTAGCTGCACGAACAAGACTACAAAGCGCAGTACGTCCTTCTGCTACAGCAAGCGGATTCTATCAAAAATTAGCCTTATCACAACAGAGTAAGCGGATGTGAATGAAAACAGATATCATCTCTACGGTCCGTCGTTCCAAATATCGAGTCGAATTCACTGGTGCAGGCATGTTGCAAATACTCTGTGCATAAAATAGCCGAGCTTGCAAGCTTTGTAGCTGTAAGAAAAACGGGATAGATATATGTAACTATTTAAATTATAATTTGAGAATAGTGACGCCGTTGAAAATCATTTGCTAATAGCTACTGTATTTATTAGGATTCGAGATCTCGCTTTGAACGCTGAATTCCACACGGGCTAATAGGTAGTTGAATATATCTAGGCTTTCGGCCATTTGTTTTCAAACTACAAGACTTTGACCACTCTTCCAATTCTAAATGGTTTTGTCTATTTGTTTACAGGAGTAATTCGCGGTTACCTGATCCACTTTTCGCATGCCAGTTCCAGAAATGAGACCCAAGTGAAAAAGGTTATCGGCTCGCGTCCCTTCAACGAGTACATCCTCTCCGATCTGAGTACGTACTGTTATTAGTAAAAATGAATCTGACTTTAAATATTTCACACTACTCTGGCCGCACTTCTACTATTGTAAAATATGAGCGATACTTTTAGCTGACAAATTCAACTAAAAGTTACACTGACTTGTGAAGAGCTGAACTCATATCTTTGTTAGTTACAAACACTCCGTATCATGTTATGACGGCACTTCGCTTATCCACTGCCATAAAAACAATCTAAACTTTACGCTCTAACCTAGTAAAAGCAATGATAAAACCTATCCTGTGGTTACTAATATGGGTATCTGTAATACGCAGACCAGTACAAAAGACTGTTCAACGTGATGCTCCATTAATATTTGCCCTAGTGAGAAAAATCCTATTGACGGCTTATCTTGTGCAAGGAATTATTTATGAGCCTCTTGGGAATCGCTGTTCATTGTTCGCTGTCGACTTTCCGGGGCATCACCGATACCTCGTGAAAGGCCGTCGGTTTCTGGCTTGCCAGTATGTACATACATATATATCTTAAACTGCTTGAGTAATTTGTTTTCTGTGTCTTTTAACAATTCGGAAAGACAATAGGGCGGTGTGTATGTTGTAATACTAGATCTGGCCTCTGGTTGCCACAATTGCAACGCCATAGCGTGCTAACCGTTTTACATCACTGATCATCATAATCTTTGTAATGCGTTGCGTTGTGAGGCGAATAACTCGGTGAGCCTCCTTATGTCTCTTGCCGGTTCAACAATGACAACAAGGACCATTGCATCTAGTCGTTGCCACAAGACGCTAGCGCCTTAAGAAAGCACCGCCAACAAAATGTCATCAGACTTGCGCGTCCATCACTAAAACGCTAGTAACAATCACAATGGCCGGATTTGTGCCAATCAATGCTCGGAAATTAATGTTCGAAGCCGGGAGGGAGAACAGCAAAGAAAGCCAGTTAAAGTTCAAAGACTCATTGCATATTGAACGATAATTGTGCGTTACACAAATTGCCGACGATAGGTATGGGTATTAAAGAGTCAAATATGCAGGGCGCATCGGCTTTCATTTTACGCCAAATACTCGACACTGCAGAATAGTAGGTATATAATCTATTATATTTTTAAGAAGAACAGGGCCCGCTGTTTCTAGAATTGGGAATTGCCCAACTTCCTGGCTTGCAATATAGTCTTGGCTTGAATCTTTCATAATTAAAGTCATTTCATCAGTTTTAAAAATCGCAAGTAGAAGCAAGGTAGATGACGAAAGTAATAAGCAATTGAGTGCCAAAAATTTCCAAAAGAGTAAAAGGCTAATACGGGTGAATTTGTTGTTCGGCTCTCTCGCTGTCCTTCTATCCGATTGGTGTACTTTATTTTGTCTCTGCTGATTATAGAGCCATTCAGTCTGTACCATATATGGGTGAAGGCGTACACGCAGCGGCACACTGGCGATAACTCGAACGCCGTCGAGGTGAAGACGGATGTGGCGGGACCTTCGGCACCTCCGATCTTTAACCTGACCTGCCACAACAGTGACAGTTTGTACATCGCCTGGGGACGACCGTCGCGGTACTATTCACACGTGGACATGTACTACGTGCACTATCGCTCGGAATACGCGTGGAGCTTCGAAGAGATCGCCATGGACGCGAGCCTAGACCCATCGCAAGAGCACCACATGCTCATCCCCAACCTGACCGCTAACACCCTATATGAAGTCAAAGTACAAGGAGCCACTCGCTCAGTGCTATACCATTCCAAGGTATTACGCATACATCGAACTATGTATACTAAATCATAGATACAGAAACAAACTTTTTCTAGGCTTTCTTCAAAGACTGTAAGGGATTAAATCGGTCTGTTGTTCTCTGCAAAATCACGCCTATATCTAGTACTATATGGCTTTCATACACGATTTTAGTATGTTGTAGGTCGTCGCTGAATCAAGACAATGACTTCTTGTAAATATGCCTTAATAAGTACAATTAGAGTGTTTCGTAACTTGCTCATCTACTAGCTACAACATTTATTTATCCAAATCGACATATTGGTCAATAAAATCTGACAAGATCTATACAGTTTGAAAATGTTTTTGTGTAGAAACTATTTTAACATCAGTATCAACTTTATATCTGTTTTTATTAACATGTGTTGTTTTTAATATGTTTTGCTGTCGCTGGTAACCTTTCTTTAATCATAGCTTTATAAGGGCGAGTTCTCTGAATCCAGGAGAGTGATCTTGTCCGGGACAGGTGGTAAATGCCAGTCCTGGCTGGGAGGCCAATACCCTTACTCTGGAGGGGTGGGGGCGGCGTTGATCGCCGGCGTCGTCTGCCTCACGTTCGCACTCCTCCTAGCCCTGGTGTCGTTCTTCCTATGGAAAAAATACTTCCAGGCTGCTTACTACTATCTCGACGATCCGCTTCCCGGAGAGAGAGCTTCGTCCACGCTCGTATTGCTGTCCGACACGTTCGAGGATGGCGACTGTAAACCGATCGATGTCTGCCAATGGCCCAAGCATGTGGCCGATCTACATTCGGACGGAGATATCGGCTTCAGCAGGGAGTATGATTCCCTGCAAGCAAGCTTTGAGGCCGAACTTTCGTCTGATTTCTCACAGCTCGATGAGAATAAGCCCAAAAACAGATACGTCAACATCGTCGCTTACGACCATACGCGCGTGACCCTTAAGCCGTTATCAGAGAAGCAGAGCAAAAGGTTTGTACTCGACAAAGGTAGTAACGCAGTTGAAACGTTAATAGTAACTATGGCGGAGATGCTAGTAGCCTGACATTATGCATGACTCATTAAGCTTGGCGGTCCTTGAACGTTACTGGTTGTTACGCATCGGCTTTTTACAACAGCAGGGTAGCATCCATGCATTAAAATGTTCGTCCTTATCGATTTGATTATCTGATCGAGTATATTCCAAGTTTTGAAAATTATGCAGGTTATGAAAATTATACTTGCTGTCCGCTTCGTATTCGAAAACTAGTCGTAGGCAAACTACTGTGTGGAGAAAAGCATGTGTTAATTTGATGCGAAGCTTCAATTCATGGACTTTCAATGATATCTAGGTAAAGCATACGAAAGTGAGATAAGTGTACATTTTCAATTAAATAATCGGGGTCTACCCCGCTTTTTCATCCCTCAGGCAAACGACGTATACATGCAGTTGTTGCCGATTCACAGATTCGTATTCTATTATGACTCGTTACCAACCATAAAAGTATATGTGTTACATTTTCCCTTAATTGACCATAGTTAATTTACTTTGCTACCTTTTTACCTTTACAGGTGTCCAGACTATATCAATGCGAATTATATTGACGGTTACCAGAAACCTCGTGCATATATTGGTACGCAAGGGCCCATGCCGTCAACGTTCGACGATTACTGGCGGATGGTGTGGGAACAAAGGGTGCACGTTATTGTGATGATTACTAATCTCGTTGAAAGGTCTAGGGTAAGTGTTGAACATTTTTGTATGTTTGCTATTACTCTTATTACCTCTATAATATAGACATGAATATGATCATATTTTGCCTCTCGCTATATCTTGCCGTGATGGACATGGAGTTAAATTGTCGAACGACCATGTGGAGACGATATGGTCAAGCGACGACGAACCGAAACAGGGAATTACTAAGTAGACAATATTAGCTGATTCTGAATCTGGGTTCAATCACAGTAAACATATATATATAAATGAAAAGGAAAAGCAAAAGAATCCGAGAATGCATTTGAATTTATTACACATGTAATCAACTCCATTTTACACCTCTTACCGAAAGCCTTCGAAAAATCGAGTTCAGGGCAGATTACGGCAGTACAACGACTAAACGTTATACTACGTATTGTAGAGCTAAAAATGTTAATTCAGCGTTATATAAGGTGTTATACTGCACGACGCTGTGTTGTTCATGCTGTTGATCTCAATTCGGTCGAGTCTCAGGCGTGTAAAAACTGAAAAATTACGGCCATAATGGCCTCATAGATATATGGCCTCGTTGGGCTCTCATGAGGTGTTAAATTGGGATTCGGAAATGCCGACAGATCATAATAATGCATACTTGTAAGCTATGATAATTGTTGTAGCTATATTTTTTCAACTGCATACATCCTGTTGATGATATTTGGTCTGGTTGTTGTCGTCTCCTTCAGCACTGCGCCATATCTGCGAAACAGGATGAGTTTGAGGGAAGTGTAAGTATTGCTCAAGCGCAAAAGTGAACAAGAATCGACAAAAGGAACGAAGAATTCTTTGAGCTCGGCACCATCTCAGTCGTTGGTCGGCATCTTGCCTACTCTTGTATAGGAATCTTCTTGCTGTATTCAGCACACTTCGTCTGTACGCAATTTGAGTCATATTGTCCATCGCGAGTTCCGTGCATTATAATTTCTTGAGTATTTTTCCGAATGCGCATAACCAACGGCCATGGTACTTGTAGCAAAAAAAAACAATAATATTAGACTTTGAGGCTAAGAAAAACGCCGGGTTGTTTCAGTAAACATCTACAGGAAAATACCGGACCAATTAAATAAACTGTTACCGATTGCCAAACAAGTCTTTTGTTCTTCAAGCACGTTTTTTGCTTTTCGAAATCCGCAAGAATCCACGGCGGGGTGACGTGCCGAGCTCGACAGTTTTTTTACGTGGTATCGTTTTTGGTGTTTTAGACAAGGACTGTAGAACAAACTAGTTCTATTCATCGTATTCATATAGTGTAATTATGTCTCGTAGTAGTTATTAGTTATTAGGCTGGCTGCCGGCTGGACGATGGCGGTTTTCCATCATATTTTTGTACTCCATGCCGACCCGACCTCATCCGTCCATCCCCGCGCGCGTGCGTTATGAGTAATCACCGAATTCACATGCCTTTTTAAACCTTACTATTACCGCTAGCAGGACGCAAAGCTTGCAAAGGTAGCAAATGGCGTGTGGTGGTATGAAACGGTGATCTACTCGGATCCTTCGCTGCTTCGTAACCTTTATACCTATGATATTTTTTTTGCCGCAGGGAAGTTGATGCGATAAGGTTAATGAAAAGCAATCAGAGAGTTTTTGGAAGTGAGAAGATAACATGAAGCATAACTTGTTTAATATATTCTCATCTGATGCCTCTTAGCTTTGAACATGTCTGCTTAATCCTTTCTGACATATAATCTATAATAACAAACTGATGGAGATATCTAGATGTCATAGGGAAACAAAGCGGAGCTATCAATTGGTGTCATCTGATCTTACCATTAGTCTTGCTTTGCCACCTTCCGCCACCGCTACCGCTGGCGTTACGGTCGCAAATGTAGTAATGTGTTCCCGTGAAATGATCGCTAACCTGATTGCGCTCGTTTATTACTTGTGCTGGTGATTTGGTGACGATGTATTTACTGCTTGCGAGGCCGGTCCAGATTCATTATAGTACTCTATAAGGAGCTCTACTTTTGTTCTGAATACTCTGTCAGTTGATAAAAAATTAGCGGACGAAACGGGTATCGTAGATTCCGCTAGCCAAACCTGCTTACTTTCATACCTCTCCAACTCGCAAGTGGCAAATTTCCTGCTAATTAATAAAACCGTTGGGACAACGAGATTATTCAATTTCCGTCATCACTTGAAACCACATTTGTAATCACTAGGTAACCGGTAGTTCAGTCTAATCGATATCGTTTGTGTGCGATGGTGCCTTAGAAAAGCCACTTCACAGGCATACTGCTCTTTCTGCCTTCCTCCCTCCGCCCCCCTTCTGTCTCTCACACGCACACACAAACTCTAGCCGTTTCCGAAATTAACTTCATAAAATAATCTTTTCTCCATCATTTATTATTAGTCGAATCCATGCGACTAACAAGCATTAACACGGCAAATCTTCCAATAAATCTTAATCTATTTTGGATTGATATCTTCTCCTGTATGTCTTTGCACTTAGTTTTTCGCTGATTGGCTGATTGATTACTATGGAACGATCTGCCAAGTGACTGATTGATTGATTGTAATGATTGATTGATGATTGAACTCGTTGATTGTTACTGGACGTCTAGCATGTTCAAACACAGGCAGCCGCTTAGCAGTTACTCGCCTTCAAATTCTAACAAAATCATACATCAACAACCCTAACACTGGGTTGGATGGTTGTTTTATTTGTGCATTATTGGTACAATATCATGTTGATAATTCCAGCGCAAGTGCGACCAGTATTGGCCCAGTGAAGGCTCGTGTTCGTACGGCCAGCTGCAGGTTAAGTTCATTTCGGAAGACGTCATGTCAACATACACGGTACGCACCTTCCAAGTGCGCCACTTGAAACAGAAAAAAGCGGGCGAACGCACCGTCGTTCAATACCATTACACTAACTGGCCCGACCATGGTAAGAGTTACTGAGTTACAGTTTGCAAATACATGAAATTCGCCTATTCCATTATTTTCCATTACTTTTCGCAGTTGTGTTGCTCTGGTCGCATTTCGTTTACACTAAAGCTACTTTTTTTGCTAAATTCCTTTCGCTTTTTTCCTGTCGCTATGGTGGGCTGGCAAGCAGGAGTGCCCGACCATCCGTTACCGGTGTTGTCTTTCGTCGTGCGCTCCGCAGCCGCTAACCCGCCAACAGCTGGACCAATGATTGTTCACTGTTCAGCTGGCGTGGGCCGGACCGGAACGTACATCGTCATCGACGCCATGCTACGTATGATGCGACACAAGCATTGCATCAATGTGTACGGGTTCCTCAAGCACATCCGAAGGCAGCGCAACTACCTTGTGCAGACGGAGGAGCAGTATGTGTTCATCCACGACGCTCTGCTTGAGGCAATTGAGAGCGGCGCCCCGACCGAAGTTCCGGCGGGACAACTTCCCCGCTTCGTGCAGACCCTGGCCCAGCCATCGGCCAGCGGGGGCCCGTCGCTGCTCGAGCGCCAGTTCAAGCTCGTCACCGTATTTAAGGCCAAAGATTTTAACGTCGTGTCAGCACTAAAGCCGTGTAACAAGAGCAAGAATCGCTCGCTCAACCTGCTGCCTATCGAGCATTATCGGGTGCACATCACAGCTAAACCGGGCCAGGAGGGCAGTGATTACATAAATGCCACGTTCGTGCAGGGCTTCCGCCGGTTACGGGAGTACGTGCTTACCCAACACCCGATGCAGGAGACCGTCACTGATTTTTGGCAAATGGTCTGGGACCACCATATGAAGGTCCTCGTACTGCTTTGCTGCGACCAGGATGGGAAGGAGTACCCAGGCTTCTTCCCATCGCAGGTCGGGGCCTCTGAAACCCATGATCAGTTCGTTGTCAAGAGGGACACCAATGGTAAACTTATTCTTAAGCACGGTCAGGACGCCGACTCTCTAGAGATCACGTTGTTACATGGTTAGTGTACAGTAAAACGTCGAAGAAAATGTCGTAGAAACATTCTTACGAAAGCTGTAATATATCGTAACCCTATACAACAATAGTTGTCGCAGTGTTTCTTGTGTTTTATGCATATATATAAAGTATACGCTTGCTAAGTAAAAATCGGTGTGATATGTTCTATCGCAAATTAAGGAAACTATATGAATTAGTTAATTCTACCAAGTAATACAAAAACATTGATATCAAAAATATGTATTGAACGACAGTTGTTCTTTTTTGTTCCATGAAAATTAATCGGTGTCTTGGGTTCTTTCCGTTTGCCCACCAATATAGCTCCAACATGGTTGTCGGGCTGTAAGGCTTTGTTTGAGCTGTTTTCGCTAATTAAGCAAGCCCTCACTGCCCAGGGGAGCGGTGAGACACCCGTGCTTGTGGTGGACCGCATTGGCGGAACCGAAGGAGCGACTTTCTGCGTACTCTCATCACTCTATCAGCAGATCAACTCGCCCTTGGAACGCGCTGCCGACGTCTACCTATATGCCAAGCTGCTTCATTTGAGGCGGCCGGGTGTATGGAGATCCATACAAGACCTACATAGTCTATACCAGTGAGTAACAATCTGATGTCATTCGGAACGTCTTCTGGTAGTTAGTGCGTATAACAACTTCTAAGCTGATCGCTGACCCGTTCATGAATCTCTAAACGTCTTTTATAATTGCTTTTTGCTGGAGAAGAGTGAGTTTTAGTAGTTCAATGACTTCATCCATAAGCTCGAAATGATAAGTATCGCAGATAGACATATTGCCTCATTGCTGTATAGCGTAGATAATTCTTTACCACCAAGAAGGCAATTGTGTTCGAACACATTTACCGAAAACGGCGTAGGATTAAATGACGACCATTCTTATGACCTTTAGATCCAGTATAAAATTGACTCGAATGCATTTGTCCTTTCTTCCCTGCCACCGATCACAAAATAGCTAGTTTGTAAACACATAGACCTATATATAAACTACACTGTACAAGAAGCTTTTGATCATTTTGACTCTACGTGTTAAGTGTTCTAAACCTTTGATTAAAGTAAAGTTATGCCCCTTATAAACTCTGGTAGTATGACTCTCTGAACTCTAGTGTAATTTTATATATGAAGTACTTCCGTGCAAAAGCCTACTTCGATTAGAATCGACAATTTCATTTTTTTTACATACAACATAAATAATAAAGCTGAAGAGGTTTCTTTGTGCTACAGTTACCAGTAGATTTAAACAACACTTTTAGGCTGAGTTTGGCAAGTCGTGATTCTGTAGTTCCTGCTAAACTTAAACGTATTGAAATTGAGCTAGACCCTTTTGCACGGAAAGCCCTGAACTTCTCTATGTTTGTTTTTTCTTCAGCGAACTTTCAAAGTGCTTACATTGTGAATCTTCCGATATTTTGTTAGATTGGGGTTCGGAAAACATATATGAGCACGAAACCACAAATTGATTTTAAAAAGTTGACTTCGGCCCCTTTACGCGGAGAACTCCACGGTCATCTTTATAAATGTTCACGTTGTAAGCTATTTTTTTTCGTCAGATTATTAGAAACATTAACGAGACCAGCGGGAAATAATAGATAATTAAACATAAAGGAAAATTGGCCTCGGGTTTTTTGCACGGAAGCACTTCATATGTAAAAGTAACTTCTATCAAAGCTATCAGACAAATTGTAGTGGCTACTAACCTCTATAGCACCATCTTCTGCCTTGTTTTTTGCTCTATTCAATAGCATCACATTTTATTACACTAACATCTATACGTGAAAATTTTTGGTCCCGCCTGCCCGTTTAACAAGTGAATACTAACCGAAAGTGATGTGGCTCAGCAATTTTTTTTTCATAAAACTATCGTTAATCTAGGAAGACAAAATTACGTTATTTTCATTATCCGTATTTCTAGAATTGCTTATCCGATTCATATGACTTCTACGTGTGGAGGATATTACTTCAGGTATCTAGATATGAATATTGCTATATGTTTTATAGCAGACAACTAGTAACACAAAAATACAGGCGACAAATGAAGGATGGGCCGCCCTGGTCTACGAACGGTTCCTCACGCCTATTATGTGTGGTTAACGTGATTGTAGGTGTATGTACCATGGAGTCGTACTGCACCAGGGAGCAGCGAACAGCAACAGCACTCTCGCCAGATCAGTGTCATCACAATAAAAAATAAAAAAATTAAGCAAAAACACCCTATTCTCTCATAGCATCTCGTGCAGAGGTCAACGAGGTGAGCTTCTACTAGAGGAGCTTTGGCACTTCCTTTGCCCATATGTTGAGCAAGAAGGATGTAGTTCCGCTTGAACGAAAACTGAATCTGACTCAGGACAGCAAAGATTAATGCCTGAAAAATTTAGAGACAACACGAAACGCAGTCAAGTAGAGAGCGAGCGACTAAACCCAGCACAAACAAACCGGTAATCAAACGGTATCTAAAATGAAAAGCAACTAAAGAGGAGGCTCAAATAAATACCCTCACGTACCGCAGCAGAGCAGCAAACAAAAGCAAAGACCAACTAGCGAGTGCGAGTATTTGCGCACAAAGTCCAGGATAAAGATAGAGGAGTGGTCCGACAAGACCGGGTGGTCTGGTCTGAACAAAATTCAAGTTTGCACCGTTCATCGTTATTTCTAGAGTCACGATTGTGCAAAACCCGCACGAGTAACACGATAGCATAGGATGAACTTGCTATGAAGAAATTCTGAAAACGCGCGAAAATGTGTCGTAGAAGCATAACTAGCAAGGCAGAAAAAACATCGTGAACCTATCCGGCCATCATGATATCATGGGATGTTGATGATGATTGACGTCAGTCGTTTCATTTGAGACTAAGCAGCGAAAACGACCTAAGACCTGAGTTACCTGACGGTAGACAAATAAGAGGGATCATGTGAAGGAGGCGAAGATGAAAGGAGACAGGAGTCAAGTAACAGATGAATGAATGGTATAAAAATATCACCAAAGAAACAGCAGGCAGGTGTCGATCGGTCAGCTCGAACTAATCCTCGGATATTTTATCGAAAATGCAGCAATAACGAGACATAGAAGAACAGAAACAAGAAAAAATTATAGAAGATGGAGCAAGTGCGATTGATAGGCACTTTTTAGCAGTCTATGAATCGGAAACTAATTTTTCTCCGCCGCATAATTTTCTGCTAAACGCAATCCATGCATAAACGTTTCCAGCGTAGCATGCAATGTAACGCAAAGCAACCTGTTGTCTTAATGTGAACCCAACGTCAACCGAATAGCCGCAGATCGCGACGCAAACACTCTATAAGCCCCCTCTCGCTCTTATTCTAATCGCTTACTTTTCAAGTAATGAAGATATTGCTACGCTAACGATAAGGCACGGTGAAAATGAAGCCGGATTACAGTGAAAGGATAGGGAGGAGGGGAGGGAATATGAATACGTCTCTTAAAACTTCATACGGCCCTTCAACTCAGCTTAGAGGGTCGCGGGTCATCTTACTTTATTTAGCCACTGTCTTCAATGGAGCTTCGGTACCGTAAACAGCAAGGTACGGATAGAAAAACAAAGGTAGAGAAACAAAAAGGCCAGGAATCTCCCCGCTGGGTACTGTGTGAACAGTGGACGACCTGCATAAAATTATAATTTTGTTCTACTACCTCCATTATTAGCAATACTAAAACTGCTCCATATATTATAATACTGTGTACGTCGCTATCACGGACAACGTTCATCCACCCCTTGCTGCCTAATCACTGCTATCCATGTCAATTTACTAATAAACTGTGGTGTAGCCATTCCCGTTAACCTCCTATCTGTCTTCTTCTGCTTAACGGATCTAGTGATTCTGATATTTCGCGATTGCCTAAAAATGGACATGTGGAAACCACAGGACCAGTGGCTCGTGGTCAAGCCTGTAATAACGTATCAGTAATTGCAAAGTCGTAAGCAGCGAAGATGAATCGAAAAATACGGAACAATAACGGTTCTCGATAATTTTTTTTACTTGCATTTACGTTCGGCCGGCATGAATACTACTAATGTGTCTATCTTTTTCTTCTACGTAAGAATGGCCAACAGCGTGTCGTAAGCAATAAAAATCGGCAAAATTGGCGCTCAGAAACTTCATGCTTCACAAAAAAGAAGAGCTTACTTGCGACCGCAATGACCTCTCATGTCCAACTTGAACACCTTTCTTTCCTCTAGTAATTACTAGATTGCTACTACGACGACTACCCAGTAAACAAATTGCATCCATATTCCGACACAACGCAACAACAGCGCCAACTGCTGCCCATAGCTACCGCCATAAGAAGGTAGTAACGACCGATTGAACAATGTTCTTTGCTTCAATAACCAGTTAGCTACAACTGTAGATCGTACGCAGAGTCCTCAGCGTTACGCAATACCTCCAACAGGAATTCAGTAACTACCAATCATTCATCTATAATTTCCCTTGCTATATTCACACTACTACGGACTTCTTCATACGAGAGTTGAATTGGCAACTGTCAGCAAACAAGCAGGCAAGGATTTTCAGCACGAATACATTTTGAGCGCGAACACAAAATTCAACCAGGGAAAATCCGCAAGCATCACACGCAAGATGATGGTGGAAGATGACGCTTTCATCATTGCAACTCTCACCACACAACCCACCAAGTTCATGACTACCCATTCGTCATAAGAAGCCAAGCTACCGAGCCAGGCCAAGCCGCCGAACCAAGCTGGCCTAGGTGTTCGCCAGGTCGCCAATTCCAAGTAACTAATAATAATAAATTGTTATCGATTTCCGTTCTTTCATGTAGTGCTCTGCCGTCTTAGTAACGTTGCTCCGTCGCGAGAAATTAGTTTTTTCTTCAGTTTCGTAGTCCGCTGAGCAAATCCTTCCCCGCTATTACCTACACCACAATGATATTGCATTCACATGTCATCGTGTTGTAGGTTTAAATTGTAATAATGAGCCTGCTGCTGTATCAACACTTTAGTCAGTCTAGCTTATTGTCAAAAATAATTCTGTTTCGAGTGTCTGTAATCGGAACCCGATCGAAATTTTTCTTTTCGTCTAGAATAGATCAGATCGTCACAGTGTATAGCACCCTATAACGACTACTATTGCGCGTTCTAAAAAACAACATAGGAAAGATTGGTGTTTTCTTTATGTATCGTTTCGTTACGGTGTACAGTTCCAATCCGATTTCATCATGTTTCTCATTTCATGGAAGTAACTTGAACTTCCTATAACATCATATTGATCCACCCTACCGCCTTGATCTTTTCTATTTTAACTTTAAAAATGGACCGAGTAATAACAAGTAGTGCTAAGAGATGCGTCCTAAATGATCCCGTCGGTATCTGTTTCATTTCTCCATACGCGGACCCGGGAAGTCACTGTTGGACCCCCGGATTTGCCGACGAATCTGAGAGGATTTACATGATTACGTCTCGCCTCGTCGTCGTTCCGCATGGATGGAATATGTGGGTGGATACCGGGATGTCCCCAAGGAGGGGTATATTTCTACTTATATTGGCTTATATATAGTGATGACATCATGCATTCATATTGCATATCAAGTAATTTTCTGCTACTAATTTGGCAAGAAGAGATTTAGTGCGTAGTCAATGTTTTTCTGCTTGTTTCGTACCCCTACCTTTGAACCGCCCACCCCTGGAGGAGTAGATTCCTCCGATCCAGAAAGCGCAAGCGAGTGTGAAAAGCGTGAAGTGAACTGAAGTGAATGGAGTGCCGAATGGAAGAATGAATTGAAAGTGGCATGTAGTGAACATACACATACACAAAAACTTCTTGGAGATAACGCTTCGGAAGTAGAGTCTGGAAATTGTTGTGTAAGTCCGTGTGTTTGGTAGTGACGAGAACGTGCGGTATTTTGATAACACAAAGATTTCGTTAAAGTCGAACTAACAATGAGGAACATGACTCCATTATAACTTTACTAACGTAAGGCCTATCCGGCTTCTGGTTGGCAGAAATCAAGCGCGATTGATATCCACTTGTCCTTTCATTAGTTTAATTAGCAGCCTTAATCTTGTCGATTACGAACGCGTGGTTATGACCAATCGCGAAACTATAGTGCGTGAGAATGGTTGCGCAAATACTTACTGAGACCACGAGACAATGAGACTTACGAATATAGAATTGGTGATTAGGCAACTAAAATTGTGAGAAGAATACTTCAGTAACTTACGAGTGTACTAAGTGAGGTATGATGTGCTGTGAAAACGAATGCGAGAGATTGTGATTTTTTTTGTGATAGAAGTGCGTTTACCGCTGGTGGATGCAAACTTTTCGGTTTACTTCAGCTTCGCCTCAAATATGTATTCCTTTTTCGTAACTAGGTGAATGCTAATCGTTGACGCCGCTAACTCAAGTTATTAATCCGTTTATAACCGAGCTTTACGGCCCTCGATTAAATGCAGAAGGTAGCATAAGCGATTATCTTCTGTAATTGTTTGCCTGTTCGCTCCTTTCATCGTCAGTAACAACAGCAAATTCAGCTGAAAGCCTTAGGCATCACAACTGTAGTGTATCAATCAGCTGTGCCCTTCCTTAACATAATATAAATACATGCATATTACATGCGTGTATTTTGTCTAGTTGTTCGAGCCCTGTCGTACGATGGTTGTATCGTATTAAATGCGATCAACGCGTGTCGGCCATTAGCATAGTCAGAGCCATGCATCGTGCCTAATCCTGCTCGCCCAATGTCTCATTTCTTTTCTTGTATATTCGTATAAGTATCTGTTTATCTCGAATATTCACTGCTATATAATTACGTCTTTGCCGCCGGCATAATGCTCACATGTCTGTTATTCCCCCTTTTTTCACACACACGGAGTGATACACATAGACCACAATCCCAACCCCTCAAATGTTGTTTCCATACGATCTTCTAACTTGAACGATTCATATGCTTACGTTATTGCTTCATACTTTTTCAGGGCCTTGAGTAGCTTGGAAGCAACGCTCATCCCGGACACGCCGTTGCCCCCATATAACGGGCAGGCCACGCAGGCATTTCGGCCGTCACAGCAGCTAGCAGCTAGCCCCCCATCTACCCTCATACTTAGCTGTGCGAAGGAAGGCCACAGTCACCATAACAATCCGAACGAAAACGGCGGAACAAATACGAACAGCACAACAACAGCAGCAAGCACACCGACGGCAACAACTCCGACGCTTTCGGTTGCGGTGTTGATTAACGCGGTCAACGGCGGTCAAGCTGCATCGCCTCTTCTGTCCCCATCCGATACCGTCTCTGTCGTTGATAGCAACAGCAGTCAAAATCAGAATCAAAGTGTTCTGACGACGAAGACACCAACGCAACAATCGTCAACGGCCATAGTAACGGCAACAATAAGTTCAGACGATGACACGCCGACGACAATGAGTAATGGCTACCAGCAACAACAACAACAACAACCGCAACACCCTATCAGCTAAATATCACCGGGACTACCACCAATTTTACCGCGCGAACCATAATGATAATAGGGCTATAATGTACATGAAATTATACATATATATATATATATATATATATATATATATATATATATATATGAAGGAATTAATATCTTAGTGTAATAGTCGTAGCAGCGGAACTAGCAACATGCAAGAGTCTTCTCTACACTGAACGTCGATGAGATTCAGCGTAGCCCCCATTTGTTCCACCTAGCAGTGGTTAAGATAAGTGAAAGCTAGCTGGTCAGGAAACCGTGGTGTACCAACAGATAAAAGCCACTGGCTCGGCCATGTTGCTGATAGCCGTAGGTTTCTTCAGGTAGACCCTAAACAGGGGTGACGTATAGAACGGCCTATGATCGTGCTAGCCCTTTAGCCCTTAAAAAATTGACACGTTCCACTAACTTGCCATTGATTAATACCGTTGTTAGTAAACACTGGTACGACTAGCGGGACTATTATGCCTTCAGGACAGCCAAGTAGTGATGGCTAGATGACGGAAAATCGTACAGAAAACTCCGTAGCGATTGTGATGATCTTCTTTTTTTTGTCTAGTTCAATTCATGTGTTCTGCTTATGTAATAAATCCATTTTTGCCAGCCGATTAATCTACAATATATCAAATCTTGCGGTAGCCGGCATCATCCAGTGACGAAATGAGGGGACGGCTTGCTCGTTTTCAGACTCATACAAGGCTTCTTAGGAAACTAGCGTCGCATGGGACCATCAACAACGTGAGATTGGCTGAGATTCTCACCAGCCAGATTTGATTATGTTGAACTAAGCTATTAGATTATTACGAAGCTAGAAGTCCACTTCCGAATAATTTGAGATTGGGATGACTGAACAATAATTGAAGCCATTTATTTATTTATTCGATAATCCAATGATGAGTGAATCGAATCAATAAGAAATCCAATCATGATTCCAACTATTCTAATTCCCATTGCTCTCGTAATCGGGTGCGACCATGCACTTAGTGAAATTATCCGTATTCATCTAGAAATATAGTCACCGCGCCGAATCAGATCTGTGCAACCGTGATCTGGCCGCGGTCAAACATTATCATTTTAATCGTCGTTCACAACTCAACTCTATTTGCTCTTATAGACATTAATCAATCAAGTATCAACGATCAATTGTCGGTCATGTTTGTTAATCGAGTAGATTCACCGCTACTTTCAATCTTTTAAAGAAAACTATTCAATTATGAGGCAGTTGCCTCAACCGCTATCGATTTCTTACATCGAACCTACATCAATTCTTATTCCCACAATATAATGCGTTTTCAAAAAAACTACTCAATGTGCTTAAGGCGAAAGAGCATATACACACACTCAATGCTGCTTCTTGTAGTAGGCTGTGGGTAGCGCGGAATATGCTTGCTTGCTTGCTTGCTTCCTTCGTTCTACATGTGCGCCTCTTTGCTAGCAGGCGAGGTCCTACGATAAGGAACTGAAGTGGGCCTAAAGAACTCGATTTTTCAATGTCGTGCAGAATCGTAGAGGACTAGCTTTCCCGCAGACCACTCTCCGTCCCATAATATCGGAAGACCTATGAAGAAATCGATGATAACAGTGGACAGCTAAGGCCTCACTCTCTGAAACAACTTAAATCAGTATCATCTCATCGCTAATATATTGCTTTGTAAAGAATCTGTGTAATACTAGTATTACAAAGTCACCGGATAGTACCGATCAGTAAGCCACTAAAGCGGGCACCAGAGACCCTAGAGGCAGTCGAATAACTGAAAGCGCAGAAGGAAACATTGTGGTGAAAAGCTCTATTTTTGTTCGTGTCATACTGAAAAGACCTCTACCTAAGCTAATGTAACTAAGAAAACGAAAATCAGCAGACGTTAGGTAACGATAGAAAGAATAAGAGAGAAACAAAGCAAAATAGAAGCCTCCACCGATTGCAAAAGCGAAGAAGACTTCGGAGTGGCCGGCGGTCAGATTGAGGAGCTCAAGGCGGACACGCATAGTTGTCACAAGAACTGTGTATAAGTGATTATTGATCATTATGATGATAATATAACAATTACATCATGTTGTAGCTGCATTTAGCCCCGTTGAGGTTACCACGCCAATTTTTCGTATATAGCACCGCAATATTATGGCCAATGGGTCTGTCTCCGCGTGTGACGTGATTACAGCGCCATGCCACTACTATGGCACGTGGATATTGTTTAGGCTGTGTGGCGACGCTTTACTATATGTTCACTTTAAATGCTGGGTAATATTCGTCTGCAGACAGTATCAACAAGCGAAAGGGTAAATTTCAACTGAAATTCGAAGTAATTCTAACAACAAATCCAAGTATATGCTGCGGATTGAGCCCAGCTACTCCTGTCCGACGGGTGATCTCAACGCTGCTCTGGCACACTGTAGCTCATCTCTGGAACCTGTAGAATACATAACTACTGATTATCAACGTAATAATAGTCATTAAGATTATTATTCCTAATACTTATTACCACTAAGAGAAGACGAAGGATGAGGATGGTGATTGTGTGGATAATCTAATTAGAATATTGAAACGATGATATTCTCATTGTAGTGTATTGTAATTCATATTATTATTAAATAATATATATAATAATGAGATAATGATATTTGACAACCAACCCTGTACAAAGCTTTAGTAGATATACGTCATAGCTATATATATATATATATATATATGACAGAAGCAAAAAATGAAAGATTGGAAATTTAACTAAAGAAAGCAAAGCATAATAAACGCGAGATGTAAAAGGTGTATGTGTAGAAAAAAACCTCAAGATAACAACAATTGGCGATGATGTGGACGGAAATTCTGTAGTGCGCCTGTGGAACTCAAGTAACGGCAAAAAAAAAAGATGAAAATGAAGGGAAACTACTGCGTAGACAATAATCGTTAATATCCGTTTTGGATAACAGCTTATAGGGATAGAGCCTAAAGGGTGTATGAATTCGAGACGATACATGAAAAGTAAAGCGAGAACGCGATATACAACTGTACAGCAGAGTGAGAGCTAAACGTATTGCAGCAGCGACAACTTCAATAAAAATTAGCGAAGACAACTATGAATGAGGGAGTAATAAAGATAATAAAAGGGTAGAGCAGCGGCGGTGTGCTATATATCGCTTCAGGCTACTCAACACAACTCGATGGAGCCTAATAAGGCCAGTGCAGAAAACCTATAAAGACACAGAACTGAATACGTAGTTAGAGTGATGAACAATCCGATTAAGCAAAACTGATACTTATCAAATTATGTGTGACAATTGGATTGCGAGTTTACGGAAGCTAGTGTAAGCAGAAGGTCACAGTAACAACAACGACTGATGGTTGTCTAACGAAAAATCAGTTAAAAAAAAATGCCAGCGTATTGATGAAGAGCTAGCGTACCGGCGATGCTGTTATGGGCTGCAGGCCTCGAAAAGCGTCCTGGATAAAAAATAGCATGTATTCAGATCAGGTTCTCCAGTATCCCACCATTCACTTTCACGTTTCGAGCCGCTGTTGATGGTGGTAGATGTTGATTTATGCTTGTTTAACGATCCATTCGTTAGTACTACATGTTGTTCTACGAAGCTCCAATGACTGTATAAACATTTATTTAACCTTACAACTGTCATTTATGTACTTCCAGATTTTGTTCTATTCTGGCGGCCGCCATTAAATTTAATAGATAATGAACGCCTATTATGTATTTGTGTGTTGATTGATTTGATCTCCTTTTAGCATGTTCTTTTAGAGGAATTGAGTAGCACACTTGGTGAGGCTAACACGTCGGCCATCAATGACTTGATCAACATGAGAAAATTAATTAAAACGTTCCTTTGGTGCAATGTCACTTGTGAAACGTCGGGTGCTATACATCTGCGCGCCCGATTTAGTTACATGGTAGTCGAGAAGTCTTGTAAGGATATACAAACATTTTTAAAAGAAACAACAATCTGACGTAAGGCGAGGAAAACATATCGTGTTTAGCGTGCGAGACGGTATTCGTGCTTGGCGTAAGCAACCGGAAAGTGCAGGATCACGAACATGCCCAACCACTTACTCCCGCTCGGGGACCCCACATAAAGAAGGCAGAGACCAAAAAAATGAAAGAGAAACGCCCGCAAATAAATTGTTTTATTTCGTACACCGAGAAGACGCAAGTAAACAGCATATTATCAAGACACCATTGGGGTTAATGTTACCACTTCTTAATTTCACCGTCGTCAATAACGGAACAAAAAGGAGGCGAGACTCAGATAGAATTTAATCGCGGTATAGATATAGTACGTACTATTTATGAAACAACCTGAGTAAGCTCATCCGCGAGACGTAAATTAAATAACGTTAGTTCCTTAGCTTATGCAATAATAAAGTAATGAAACGCAAAATGTCACAATAGCACACAAAAGTAAAATCCTTAATATAATAGCAGTTTCTCTGGCTGAATTCTCGGCGCTAGCTATCATGTCATGAAAGCATCCAAGAGAGCCTGTGTGGACGGTTTCGTCAGTGCAAGGTCTTGGCATCTCAAATCTTATCTTCTACGGCTTGAACACGAACAACGTATACATACGCACAGGCCTTCATGACGTAGAAACACGGCGACAGAAAAGATATATATGGTAGAGAAAAACGCGCGCCTGAGCCAGAGAACGATCCGAAGCAGTCACGTGGAAGGAATATATTGCGTGTTAAAGATACTCAATCAGCGTTGAGAATAATGGTTGCAAGCATTTGTGACATACATCTATACACATTGTACTGTAGTTTAAATGTGATCATCTTTATTTGGATCATAGCTGTGTAAAAGGGCTGTTGTATGCTGGAGCGATGCAGAAGGGACGCGGGATAACTGCAAAAATAAATGGCGAGCATGTATGACTACTGAGATGTTTCGAAAAGCTGGACTGAGTTGAGATAGTGACAGAGGGGATACTGATGCTTCGACCGATCACAGTAATAGTAACACAAATAGATAGAAAACTAATAGAACAAAAAAGTGTATTCCGATAAACGTATATGTAACGACAAATGCCAATAGAATATCAAAATGTAGCTACATGCTGACCACTTGCAAAGCAGCGTTAAAATCGGCAAACTTTACGCTTTTATCGTAATCCCGTTGCAAAGGTGCTACCGAAGTCAACATTAACGTCAAGGAATATTGATTTGGAAAGAATATTCATTGTTCGTATTTTCTACACTGCACCGTTTTTATAGAATTACTAGTCACTTGGGAATTTTCTAGAAAATTGCGCCTTTAGGAGGACATATTTTTCAAAAAAACAATTACTGCCGTTTGTAATACTGGGATCCTTTAGGCATCGATCGATTCCATTAGAAAATTTAAACCTTCAAACTCTCCTATTTTCGCTAATTTCAGAAGGCTTCAGGGAGCAAACACTTCCCGGTAATGAGCGTTCTCCATTCTGTCATTGATGTCGGACACTTAGGTGTTACTTGCTTACATTTTGAACAAAGAGATTCTGTTGGTTGGCTCAGTTGATCGCTCGACCTAAGACAGTTTAACCGTTACAGCAGAGACTTTCCAAATGTGTTGTTTCCGCAATTGCTGAGCTAATTGCGTCTAGATATTTTTGTGGATGATATTAATGGCCCTTACTAGACGTCCTCTTGCCTAAATGCGGATGTTTCTGACTTTAATCGGTATAGACGATAGTAGACTCTAAGGACCCCAATATAATTGATAAAACAGTGTATATTCTAAAGGTTGAAAAAAGCTGACGCAGAAGAACAGAGATTCTTCTAGTAAAGTGAATCGAAGCCGATCTATTAGCCCTGAACTATGTGACTAGAGTCGTATATAGGCTGCTCATACCGTGAGCCGATTTGAATAAGATATACGCTAGCGGTCGATCGGGCGGTTCGTTCTTTCATGACACGTGTATTTAGTATACGACTCAGAGTTGAATTATTTGGCTCTGCATAGCAGCGACATTCGAATACATTCGATACCCATAGAATACATTTTATTATAAAATAATAAAAGAGGAGATGAGACAAAACTTTCAATTGGGGCTAAATGATAGATCCTGGGTTACAATATGGGTATTGATTCAGCAAAGATGGGTTCCCGCTCTCTAGTTGAAGTAAAACTATTGGAGAAGCTAACCGGCACTGTCGTTCAAACTATAAGCGAAAACAACTTATTACCGAGCCCGCCGTTCTATGCACACATGGGCGATGCTCTTTTTGGTAATTATTTGCGCTTGTACTGCGGCTTCATCATGACTTTAGCAATATCTCTTGCGATCTAGTTGTGTTAATGAGTACTTCGAGGAAGAACTACTACCTCTTTCCACTCGTCCAGTTAAAATGCGAATAGGATATACAACAAAAACCCCACGTCGAGATGTGATAAACAAGTCAGATATTCAATTGCGCATAGGACGTGAAACATTCGTCAAGAATTGGCTTATTTTCTTGCGGAGCTTGCCCTAGCCCCGTCCGCACAACTTGAAGTATTGGTCGGAGATAACCATGTTTGTATGCATTTTACATGCACGTTTCAGTGAGCCAATTTAGCCGTGATTCAACATGGCTATAAAGATCTGATGTTCTGAAGATGCGATATAACTTGATTCACTCAGATACCTTAAATCTGAGTTTGCTAATCCGTGATTGAGCTCACAGGGGTACACGGTGCGGATGACCAAACAGCTAAGCCCCTGCCTTTGTTAAAAAAACAATAGAATTGAGGGACAAGAGTTTCGCAAGTGTTGAGCGCTGAACTCTCCCCACAGCAATGGCTCAAACTAAGCTCTCTCAACGGACGTGCGCGGTTGGGATTCGTATTTATAGAAACGGTATGTAATAGAAATTTAAGTGTAGTTTTAACAACCACAATTTCACTTAAAAATAACCGCCACTGCCGTGGAAGCCCTGCGATAATAACATTTAGATGAATCTACAAGAGAAGCGAATGACAACAATATTATTTTGTTGAAAGTACATATATAATGTACTCAATATTTTTCGTCGCATAGCCTAGCGCCTTTCACTGCGAACGCTTGTAACTGCTAATAGCAGTTAAACGGCTATCGAGGTCACGAAGGCTTGACGAAAGGAGACATGGTTCCGGCTGATCTATCCTTGACACGGCAACCTGTTTCCGAACGCTGACGCTAGAGCAGAGAGCAACTCCAGGAAGCACACACTGTACATAGCCTATCACGACAATTTCAATAACCATTATCATTATTAATATAGAAACTCATATAGTTGCATGCATGTTCAGATTGCTCTCGGCGAAAATAGACGGCAGCATGGATAAAAACAAGACGCTGCAAAAATGGTGAATGCTCACAAATACCCCCAAATTGCCTATGGGTTGGTAACCATGGGTACTCATGACCTGATCGAAGCTCTGCCTGCATGTCTTTTAAACATGGTGAAGATTTAACTCTTCCTGTCTTCGCCTGATCCGTACATAACTACAAAACGTACTAAATAACGTACAAAAAACAATCGGTTGACTTTGCCTCCCTTCGCAAGGGGCCGTTCGAGGCGAGGAATAAGCATAAAGATAGGTTACCAAAGCTAAGTAAATGCGAAAGACGGTAGTAGGTAGGCGGCATGGCAGAACTAGCTGCATCATTGCTCTTGTAGGAAAGGCTAAGCAAATGGAGGATCTATTGCAGACCCAATACGCATTGGGGTTCGTTGTTTTATCGGCTGGAACGACTTCCGTTCTAGTAACCCCAAAACAGAAAAGGTTAAGTGTATATAAACTGACTGAAAAAGGGGAGAGGGAGAGAGAGAGAGAGAGCAAGAAAGTCACTTCAAAGACCTACAAAATAAGAAGAATAACAAATACATAGGAGTAATAATAATAATAATATTATTAATAATTACGAACAACAATGTTGTAGAGAAGAGAGGAATTCTCGATTGCTATCGAAGTAATAGAGAACCCACGACCACGTTTAGGGTGGCATATGTCTCCGCACACACACAAACACACACACACACACACTATGCCATATATATATATATATATATATATATATATAGATATGCGTAGTGAAAGTGTGTGGAATCCGAATGCCGAATAAAAGTCTTAAAATTTAATAACACTTAGAGTACTGTTCTAGTGAATCGTGTCGCCGACATTCTGCTGACAGCAAGAGTAATAATAATAGTAATCACGGTAAAGAACCTAAAACTAAATGCTAACCTGTGGCCAGACATAAAAATTTCGATTCTTATAAGCAATTGCGGTCAACGAGAGAGAAGGCGCATGCGCAACAATAAGGCTAACACGTAAAAATAAGATGTCTGATAAATGAGTCCGATAAATGCGAAAAGAGAAAATGCCCAGCAGTAACTTATTAGTTCTATACTTCGACGATAATTATCACTATTATTACACTCCTTGTAAAGCTTCAGAATTACATAGGAGACGAAAAAAGGAAACAGGGAGTCGAGGAGAGAACAAAAAATACCGGGAGAGAAAAAACAGAAAAGCAGAAAGAAAAGCCTGGCAGATATAATGGAAGTCGTAAAAATAATAATAATAATAATGGGCTTAATGCCGCCCATCATAGAAATGCAGTTGTGGTTTGATGACAACCACAAACAACCCGCTCAACAGGAAAAAAAATTGCACTAAATGAGAAAAATATGGTTAAAAAAAGGATAATGCTAAAACACAAAAAAGTCGATGTGTGAGAGCGCGACCAGCATCAAATAAAGAAACAAAGGCAAGAGCAATCCTGCCGGAGCAACGAAACACCGACAACAAGATCAATGGAGCAATGAACGCATAAATAAAGAGGGAAAAATGCGACTATTCAGAATCTTAATGTTATACCCAACATGGTTTCAGTGTTTTCTCTGGGTGGGTCCATCTATATATATATATATATATATATATATATATATATATATATATATATATAGGTGTATATAGATGGACTAATCAGAAATAAAGCGTTTCAGTTTCTCTAGGTTCTTTTAATAGTACGTAAACATTGAAATATTATAGTTAAGATAAACGGTTAGAGTCGACCAACGCAATTCGAAAGATTTGCTATACTTCAAGCGGACATAAGTCGAACGCTAACATTAGTACACTTATGGTAGAAACTAGCTGTTACACAATTCGTCTCAAATGAACAAAATTTATATTGAACTTGCCTGAATAAGGGGAGTTTTTTTTTGTATCAAGCTGTATATTTTTGAAGGCTTTATTCCTAGAGCGCGGTTGTTGAACCAAATATGAATAACATGTCTGGACAAACAAAGGTAGACTGGAAGTGCGCAATTAAGCCGTAACGTTTAGACAAACCGATAGGGCATTACGGAACTATGGGTCAGATCCACCTAATAACTTATAATTCCGAATCTTCAATGACTCTCGTATGAAACTGTTCTAAATTTTTAAATTGCGCCGCTAGTAAAACGTTTAAATCTAATGCTTTTTTTGGTGCAGTACTTTAAGCCAGTTTACCAGCTTAAGTTATTGCAGAAGTGTTATTTAGTTATTCTCCCCTGAAAAGGGAAGGTCAGCTGGATGCATCCTACTCCTACACCAGGTTTTTCAAAGATCGTAGTTCGATTTTTCATGTAGATACATTCCGTGCTATTACAGGTAAAGCATATGTTAAATCAGCGTGGATTTCTATTTACACTTCATGATGTAAAACTTCATGACATCCATGTTTGCTCTAAACTCTCTTAAAAAGCCACTAGTTCTAGTTCACTAAAAACTAATAACAACCTCAGAGTGTGAAAGCAAACAGCAAAAACAAAACTACTTGTTAAATTATGATAGCGGTGATACCAATAGTAAATGATGCATATATTTACTTTTCAAATATGTATATATTCATAACGTCAAATGACTGGCTAATCGGTACGTTCCGTGCGATTCTTTAAACTTCGTTTTAATAAATAAAAAGAACACTTCCCGGCACTCATTTTTTATTTTGGCTTCGAAACCCTTAGGTTTCACCGAGCATCCTTAAACATATTTCATAACAGCCTGTGTAACATGATTTACTCAACCTTCACATTTAATGGTAATAACAGTAAGCCGTCGACTTTGTCACCACATGAAAAACGCTACTACAAGTTTGCAGGGGATAGCAACATAGTGGCTTGTTAAGTCCTAAACTACGTAGACAAACATTTGAAACACTGAAACTATTTGTTTTGGTGTTTCTTCAAAATACCTGCATTGTACTCATGAAGAGAAACTACTTCGTTCTTGGAGGCTAAATATTAACCTATGTCAAATTGAACGTTTGGAGCTACGTTGGGTATTTAGGCCGTCAGGCGTCGCTTCAGGACAGTAGCTCTCATCATGGAGTGCACTGTGTCCAGGTTAGAATGTAGGCCAATATGTGACTTTAAGTTTAGTGGGCACGTAACTTACCATTGTATTATTAAATGGATAGGTGATAATAAGTTTTAGCTGCTCACTATAACTTCACACAAATGTCTGTTGCACCTCTAAAAAACGTGGTCATCTTATCTCCAACTCAAGTCAGATCTGTTGCCCTTATAGCGTTCTGTAACCTCGATAGTCTGCTGGATATTAAATGAAAACACATAACTATATACACTATTGCTATTAGTAAGGACTTCGCCTTGCCTTCCATCAACGTGATCTAAAGATCCTGGCAGAATTCACGTGTCGTTGACCCGGATCCGTACCAGAGTAGTAAAACACGAATGGTTATTACCTGACTAGCGTACCGTAAAGCCATATCCGCTCCGCGTATCGTCGCGGCCATATCAAATTTGCCTACTTGTATGCCATTAGGGTGATATAAACTACTCAGTGACTAAAAATGTATAGAAAACAAAAATAAAAAAGCAGTTGAAATACAAAAAAAAAAAGATTTTCCAATACAATACATTGCTTTCGGTATAAAATAATATCATAAGGCATTGGGCGTTGTTTACGAGATCAAAGCCCGCAACGTCTAGTGGACAGGTAAAAAAAAAAAACTAGGAGCAGGCACCTATTTAGTTTCTTGGATTGTTTCGTCTAAAAAATAAGATAAAGAAAACACGGTTTCTAGGTATATATACAAGTTAAAGCTACTGGTAATCGCGGGTTTTGTCTTTTCTAAAGCAGATTAGCGTTTTAATTTGCTTTGAAGACCAATTTCTTCTACGCATCGTTCCCTTTCGTGTAAGTAATTTTTCGATCTAAATTGTTTTTGTTAAAAACGAAATGCAATATTTAATCGAATTAAAGTTCTAAAGATAGGCGCTTCGGGCGAAAAGAGTGTATCTTTGACATATATTTTAACTCATCCGAAACAATCGAAGAAACCTACGCTGTGTCGCAGAGAGTTGCTGAACGTTAGTTTGCGAAGTTTCCATGTGGTTCTTTAGACCCGATGTGTGTTATAATAAATAAAAATAAAAAAATGACACGATTTACGTTTCAATCCGATGTTGCTTACGTGCCTATAAAACATTTGCCTTCCATAAGAACACGTAAGCGTGCATCATGCACAAAAGAACAATAGCAAAAACATTTGAACCATACCTGAATTATAGGATTTTTAATCATAGTTAAGCTATACATATGTTATAAAATTATGGAACTACTTTCGGAAAGTTTCATTTTTTAGGCTATTTGCCAATTGATTATATACTCCGTAATATATTGAATGGGAAAAATGACAGAACGATCCGCTTATATTTCTACACTGCATAGTTTCCGGTAGGTCAAACATCACAGACGAACTGTAACCTATGACAGGGTTTCGAAGTAAGTAAAAAGAGAAGAACCTGTAAGAGGTATAGGGTTTACAGACACACATGTGGCGCCTCTCCCTGAAGTGACTTATCTGGTTGCCTCTCAGTTTTTGGCGACCTGTAAAGCCTGTCCCTTTATAGAATATTGTCGCGGGAGGATCTCAGTGATTCGATCCTAATGAATCACAGTTTCTAAACAACGGACGTTGTAGACTGCGGAAGGAGTTTCTTCAAAATAAACGTAAATAGGAGATATGTACATTTTGAAAATGCCCGTTTCTCTTCAACACGAATATATGGTATGTATATTTAGTGTCTATGCCTTTGTCTACTACTTATAGATAAGAGAAACGAATACAGTGTTAGGGAGTGCATCGATGTTAAACATCACAAGACTATTGTTGAAGAACTGCGTGCTTTTTTCGCGATACGTTCCCCTATATTCTCGCGAACTCTCGATGGCGTAGCTTTCGCCTGGCGCACTCATGATGGTGACGCTCGGTTTGCGTGCAGCCCTTGCTAATTACCGTTGTTGGTGCTTGGATCTATTTGAATACACGTAGCCTCGGTGATTTGCACTGATATTGCCAGGTAATAGCTTGGCCGTGTCCACTTTTCATATAGCCTTTCTTGAACTTACGCTAACCTTGACTCGGTGGAACTAATTAGAATAAATTACTGTTAATCGTTATAAATTAATTGTAATAATTAAATTGTAGCGAAGGCCGTAATAATCACGCCGATCGAATGCGACTGAACGTTAAGTTGAGCCGCGAAAAGTTAGAGTCTATAATCAGTCATAGTTGGTGCGTCTACAATATCTGGCTGGCCAACCTGTATCTAGAATAGAACGACACAATTATAATAACAGCCCAGCTTCCACAGCGAAGCCAACCATAGTACAAATCAACACTGATACAGTTGAAATCAGAGAAGTTAGAGGACGCAGTATTTAAGTAGGTAAAAATGCTAACTAACTATCAGAGCGATACATATGTTTCGCAGATAACTAACTTACTTGATTGGTAGCCATGTTTTTTTATTCATCACCATTGTTAACAGCAAAGGATTCGACCACTGAATACAAATAGATGCACAACGTTTTGTTTAGTACTAGATCATATAAAAAAAGTCAATGCTTAATGGTTTATTGCCCAGCTAGGTACACTACGGTTCTTGGTGTCCCGTGGTGGCGTTTTTACCTTTCCAGTTTCTAAATACTCTTATGACTATTATCCAGCGTCTGCTGATTTTTATTCATGATTGTGCTTCTGTTAGAGCTACGTAAAAAAATGCGTGGAGAGCAGGTTTACTGTTTGCGGTACAATACTAGAAACGGCCTAAGACTTAAACCTAAGGATTTGTCCAAAAACTAGGTATTATCTAGGAATAAAGACCTGCATATACCTGCGATTCTGTCGAACATTATTATCAACTCTAGAGATTCCCTTTTAGCGTTATGACCACATTTTACAAGCTCGGATTTCCTGCCAACGATATTATCAATTTGCGAAACGCCAGTTCTCTTGGTTGTCGTGCACACAAATATCCTTACACCAATTTTTCCTGGTTTGCACGGAAGCGCGCTACTCGCCGGATATTACTGTTTAAACTTATTGAAGTGAAATTCGCGAAGATATTCTTAAATCTTGCAGTTATACAAATCACAATGGGAAGTTCATGTAAAATCGCTGAGAGTCTACCCGAGAATAACCTTGTAAATGCCTTAAAGGCTGCCTCGAGTTAAATTATCTTCATGAACTTCAACTAAATTGCATGCTACTCCGGTATTTTATGTCTTCCAGGACCTTGGAGAAGCTAAACCCAAAAAAAAAACATAGTAGCCGTCGGCGGAAGCCCGGCCGGTGTAGAATAAAAATAATAATTTAAAATAGCGGAGTCTCACTATTGGTTGGAAGAGGAAATAGTCAAGTTAAGCGCGATCCTTTCAATACGCCTCGTTAAATGAGAGAACCAGTGAGAAGGGTAAACTTTCTCACCCTAGGCTTACCGGGCGAAACTGCTCCCATTGAGAGGCACACACACCTGGACAGTATATGCAGATGTGGCGTAAAAAGAATGGCAGAGAAAACAAAGCGCGAGAGAAAGCAAAAGAACGAATCGACAATTATTCGGGGTACTCTCTAGACGCCGTGTAGGTAACATCACTTTGCAGCGGGTACGCGGAGGAATAATCGCTCGCGAAGCGCGACGGACGTTGATAGAGGCAATGATAGCCTGAGAGACGGGAACACCGGTAGGGTCTACACAATGCTGCGCTGAGTAATGCGCCAACGTCACGAGCAAAAAGCCCTCTTGGAAGAGGCCATATAAAGCATAAGGCAGAGGTCAAGCTGCCGGCCAAGAGTGGTTTTCCTTATCCTTTTGACTGGAAGAAAAAGGAGATTCTAAAGAGTACTTCTTTAAGAGCGCAACCACTAAGCAGCGATTACAGCACATGCGGATACAGGCACATGTCCTATATAAATGGTAATGGAGACGCGTTGCCATCGGTGAAATTATTACACAAAGTTCGGAGATGAAACCGACGAATCACGTGGGCAAGCTTAATTACATATTATATACTAAATATTTAGTTCGTTGTGTTCTCTTTCGATATAGAAATCACTGTATGGTGATCGACATCGCTTCGATCGGGAATATATGTATGAAGTGTTATCTATTGGTGGGTGCTGGCCGTCAACAAACTACCTGCGACTGCCCAAAAGTGCCTTTGGCAACTTAAATACTTGAAAAGTTGAGCTTCTTAAGACAGCACATTAAGCACAATTGGCCGCCGGTTGCGTGATTCAGCGAAATAAAATTCTGTCTATGGGAAAACGAAAATGAGTAGATTATTCACGGCGACCATAAAAAGCAAGATGACAAAGTGAAAACAAGGTAAGCAAAAAATAAAGTTGTATCATTCCTATTTTTTTTTGCACAAGAACACATATACATATAGATGAATGAGTGCTTGGCAATCTCCTTCAAAATTTTCGAAACGCGTAGGGCGCTTTGACCACTTGGTCTAGCCAAAACGATGGACACATTTTCCACGCTGTCTCCTCCAGCAAGCACGAGGTTGCAAACGTTCAACTCTAAATACTATAAAAGCTTACTGTAAGCCCCTAGAGGTCTTGTGATTCCCCCGTCGGCCTAAACTGAACGGAAACGGCGAGTTTTAAAACGTACGACGTGTCAGTAGCTTTATATCGTGCAAAACCTTAGAGCCATATTTTCTCGTAATATAAGATTTTACATTCTAGAGAACAAGGGCTTTCGGGGTAAATTTTGGTAGCACTGGCTAAATCGTGTTATGGAATGATGTCAGTTAAGGACAAATCATCGTCGGCAAGCTGCCCAGCATAGCTTATCCGTAGCTCTCTAAAGACTTTAACTTCAGAAAACAATGTCTAAAAGTGTTTGGCTAACAGGTAAATTCGGGTGCGTGAAGAGCGCAGGTATTTCCTGCAAGACAGATAACTTGATTTAATTGCAAAAAAAAAATCGGCTGCATTGGGCTATCTTATTGGGCTATCATTTCCGGTCTGGCACCATTCTATTTTACACTGGTACTCTACATGTCGCCGGCAAATTGCTGACAAACAACGTGATACGTAAAGCAAACATATCGTCTCTCAACGAACGTAGGCGTAATAGCTTGCCGTAATCGGTCTCAACGAGCCCAGCATTACCATTTCGCGCCAGTATCTCCTATTCTATAGCGCGTTCTATCAAACTACCTGACGCGACTGCTGTCGGCTATGAATAACTAAGTAGTGACGTCTGATTCGTTTGAGTATTTTCTAGTGATTTTGCCTCTTGCCATACGTAAAGTGTCGAAACGGAACGAGCAAAAAACACTGATTAGTATATTCTTTAGTTAAACACTAATAAGTGTAAAGCTACTAAGATGTTTTATGTTTATTAGCGTTTACTGGAAGGAAGTTGAAGGACAACCTCCCTTAACGTCGTCGAATAGAACACACAAGGTCACAAGAATCAACAAAATTGTACTGTGAAACAGTGGGACCTTGTGATTATTTACGAACCCCAAAAAGGTCGGTCCAGTATAATGCTTTCCACATAGATTATAAGCCAACGGACTTGCTGTGTAGAAAATAACGCTTAGCCGCCAACTCAATATGTCCCAGCTCAATGGGACGGGCTTCAAGGGTAGTAGACCTCCAAAAACGCCGACCGAATACTCGAACGAGACGAGCCATCTTTACAGGACAAACCCGGTAAAGAAATGGAGCAGTGAGAACTCGGAAAGAATCTGTTTCTCGAGCACATTGAGGAAAAGACACTAATCCTGCTTTCGAAGGTGTTAACGAACAATTTTTGAAAACTGTGTCGTGCCGAAAATCAAACATTTATCAAAAGTTCTTATGTGGTCCACAATTTCTAGCAAAAACACTGAAATTAGACAACTAGAGCAACAGAAATATCGAGAGAAAGATGCTGCTTCGGGTACGAGCATGGTTCCCTGACGGTGACTACCTTTTCACGCGCCTTGTCACAGAATTCGGGTTATCTCTGGACTACTCTCTGCGAAATAGGTTCGGGTGCTACTAGTTTAGCGGATTTCAACCCAATGGAGAATGACTGGAGGATCGTAAAATCTTTTAATTCAGGACAGATACGAAATATTGTCCAGTTCTCCGTAAAAATCATTAATGTATGGTGTCAGGAGCTACTAATAGTTAAGGTAGCAAAAAACTACATTAGTTCGCCGATTTCTTTGTGGATACGTGGAGTATCAGTGTAAAGTAGAATAATGCTACTTCCATAAGCCAAAAACAGCTTGTACGTGGTAAAATATCTCGCTTTAATACTGAGCATTTGTCCTTGAAAGGATCCTGATAAAATTCTTTGAGCCTACTTGATTGAGCAGCGACTATATATATATATATATATATATATATATATATATATATATATATATCACGGTTTGTCAAGAAAAAATCGTGACGATTTTCCTTCCCTGCCCTTGTCTAAGCTGCTATCCGTTGCGAATTTTCTTTGGTTAAACGAATGATAAATCTATTTTGGACACTCATGAATGGATAGGCCACAAATGGAAAAAATCGGCCGGATGGAGCGTCGTCCTTTACCAAATGATTTCACTTGAAATAGCAAACAGCGCCATCGTTCCGTATTACGCAGAGAGCGAAATCATTATCTGGCTCAAACGGCCTGATTAACTGCCCTTAGAGGATTACTAACCGTTATTTGCGAACCTAAACAGACCATTGACAGAAATACATTGGATACGAACTTTATCTCTTTATTGCATGGAATGACAATTGTATAGGCGTTAGCAATGTGGCGTTGCAGAGAAGTGCCAAAGTCGAACGCTGTTATTCGGGCAAAAAGTGCCTTGGGCGGGCTACTCGAAGGAATCGGTTAATCCTAACTGGACCCATCGATGTCTCTTATTTCTCAATAGTAAAGTAACCATGCTTTTATGGCATATGCTACAGGAAAATGATAAACGTTTATAGAAACTATCACAGCAGTAATAACGGACATAAATGAACGATACGTATAAACGTGTTTTACGTCGAAGCATAACATCGAATGACTAGATGAACCAAAATATAGATCCGTCAATTGACTAAACTAGTTGAGTGATCTGTCTGCTCGGAGCGACAGATCACTCAACGAGACGTCAACTCTAAAGAAAATCACCTATATGTGAACTATGTCAATACAGCCGTACTGGTTAGAGAACAGTTAGCTGAACGAATTCTACTGAGAACTGCTGGCCAATACTTTGAGCTTTGCTGGTGCGATTGTAAAGGCAGTACAACTAGCGACCTCACGTTTAGCGTACCAAAATGGACAGGGATACGATAAGTGAATCTATTTTGGGCGCCGATAGCAGACAACAAGTTCACTTTCATCAAGTAGATAGTTGTGCATAGATCGTTATAGGCGCTTTGTTTAGAAATATTATCTTTTTGAAGTAGAAGATCCATTTGACAATATCTTTTGCTGCTCAAATCGTCATTGCGACCTCTGGCGTGATTTAACGAGAGCCATTGAAATGGCAGGCTCTTCTTATTAAGAGGTAGCTTTTTTCCTGAACAGAAGAAGCTCGTTATGTACAACGGTTACCGATTAGATAGGTCATGCAATATCAAAGTACAGTGCTATCGTTTTACGGAGACCTCAATTCGGTCGCTTTAACATAACGTTAGCATTGAAAGTTTACTCCAACAACTAGCAAATTTATAGCTAACAATTTACATTAATCTCTAATAAGTAATAATAACAAGAAAGATCTGCACACCCGAACCAAGTGAAGTCTGACTTTTTATGGTAAATTCGATATGTATGATGAGCCAGGCACAAACAACATTTGCAAGCAAATAGAAATCTCGCTGTGATTTATTTACTTGCAGATAACCCGAAGCCAAACGTAAAACAGCTGTGGATCCAAGATGAACAGCAAACACGTCTGTCTCTGATTCTTTTGCTGGCGACCTGCCGAAAAAGGCCAGAGATATCGCTTGATAGACTTACGGCAGAAGTGTACATCAGCGTTCATCTCTAACAATCCACAAATGCATGGCATGGCGTATACCAGAACTAATAACCCTGTGAAATTTATCGGTGAGTCGTTTATGCCGATTGTGAAAAACATTTCTCTAAAGGTTTTTTCAGATGCATAAACAGGCTGGATAAACGAGGCTGTTTATGTAAGCGAAAAAAAAACAGGTCTTAAGGCCTTAATGCTCCAAACGATAGCTCAATGGGTATTTAAACAAAAAAAGTAATCCTTTTATTAGCTCATTAAGATCTAGCATTAGTTCTGCAATTCGCCGAGTACGCCTTTATACAGTCGGCTGCTTGGATATCGTAACCAACTTCCATAAGTGGGTTACAGGAGTTGGGTGGATACCGGCAGGGTTGGGTGTTTGCATCGCAACGGCCGCGCTCGTTTCCTTTGTATGGGCCGTTCTTTCCGAAGATGTTACCGTATTTGCTCCGTTCATCAGGCAAGTAAACGATCCTTGAAGACCACTATATATATATATATATATATATATATATGTGCTTCTGACAAGGAAATGTTTGCTTCAGATCGGAGCAACATCAAATGTTTAGCACTCTCACACCGCCCATGGATCTAAAATTCGGCTTCCTAAATATCCTTCGCTAAAGCTATATTTTCCAGCTGAGTATTTCATTTGCAATATTGCCATGTGTTGTTTTTAGAAGGAATCGCGACGATCCTATTCTCCCTCGTACCTCGGAGCTAAGCAACATTACCAACAAATATATTATATTTCAAATTATTTTGATTATAAACCACGGCTAGACATAGAGAATCCTTTACATCCAAATTATATATCATCACGATAATTGTACTGGTTTCAGCGGGACCAAGTTGCCTTTAGGACACGGTGTGAATATTGCTATAGTTCTTTTCGCTTTCCGAATTCAACAAAATCTCTGAATGTGCTAGATTTCGAATTATTCAATAAACTATTTACGCTGCCTTGCGGAACCTCACAAACACGTATGGAAAAAGCAACTTTGACCTACCAAACTTATCACTAAATTATTACGAGGCATCGTCCGGTCAGATACGGCGCTTTCTCAATTTGCTCTATTTTGCTTCCTCTATTAACCGAGTTTTTTTACACAGAATAATTAATGGCCCATATAGCCCCAACTTTGGCCCATTTCAAGCCAGCTTGGTGAATCGCCGTAAGCCTTTTTCATACCGTGAAAGCGCTTGTGTATGTGAGTGTATGTAAGCGAATAACCACGCTAGTATATGTTTTGCTCTGTGGCAGCAACTGCTTCCAACGTCACTTTGGCTATATTTCATCTCCTGTAACTCTACCATGTTTGGTACTGAAGACTTGATCCACTCGCGACAAACGTGCTCTATGGACGCTGACTTTCCCGTAGTCTGTGAACCGTTCTAAGCACGTAATTGATTTTTTTTCGGGCTTCTAATTCTAGCGAGACGGGAGCGGATCCACCACAAAGTGGATTCTTCTCACTAATGATTTTGGTGTCGTGCATCTGGTCGGCTGTAACAATGGTCCTCCGTTACTCTATCGTCCGTCAACTATTGCGATTTAACCAAGGTGGATGGCTGAACTTCTGCGCACTTGCTGTGGGATTTCTGTGCATTTTTGGACTTGCCATTGTCGCGGCTTATCCAGTAAGTGATGCCTGACCTGTAAGTGTGAACGACATTAGTCAGTATGCTCAGCAAAGGTCATTAGGCCGTAATTCAGACATTGATTGACCGATTGGTTGACTGATATATATGAATGTGTAGGAGGAGATCGTCGTCGCAAGTTATCACCTTTATGAGTAAATGAGGCTACTCGCGATAGATACAAGCTTCAGCTGATTTTATCGAAAGCGCTGCTTGTTTCTGCGTTATGACTCTCCTGCTTAGCTGACATCAAGCAACGGCATACATGATTTCGGAGCCACAACAATGTTCCTTCTGGGCGTGGTCTACTGCTTAATGCAGAGTATCCTGTCGGCTTGGATGTACCCTTGGCATAACGGAAAGGTCATAGTAGCAGTGCGTGCGGTAATTACAACAATAGCAGTCACTACTGCGATTACGAGTGAGTTACAATTCGTTACGTTCATGTTTTTCTCTATTTCACATCAATTGAGTCGATTCCTAATTGTATGTCAGGTTGGATTGTACAATAGTATCACAAGCATGAACGCGTAGAGTGACGGGCATTGTGTCGTACCTGTTAACGAACACAGATGAGAATAGACTTAGAAGCACTTCGAAAAAATGCTCATGTTTAAAAACAATGGTGAATACGCGCTTGCCTTTACGTTAGCACCTAAAATTGATGAAGTTTTTTTCGTACTGGTTACAGCCACTATCTGCCAAGTAACTGCAAAAAGGTTATGGTTGGAATCGGGCATTACAAAGCCGGATGACATGCGCTTACCAGGAGATCCGGTACATGTCCGTTCCACTGCCATATATTGTGTATATTTCGAACTGACTATCTCGGAACTTCTTAGCTAATAATTGCATTTCCTTGAGCGATTATGCGCTATATCAATAACTGGTAGATCTAGTAACCTTGAATTTATTTGTAAGTGTTACCTGTTTTAGCCTTTTATTAATCGTTAGATGTTTTTTCAGGCGTTCTCGTGGTTCATGGCTGCAGCGGTCTCCGAATGGATAACGGTAGCCATGTTCGTCACGTACTTTTTCAGCTTCATTCGCGAATTCAACAAGGTTGTTCTAGAGCTGGACACCTACCCATTAGTAGACCATTTTGATGACGATATCGAAATTCGTTTCGCTTCGTCGGAGCATACGCCCCTCTACAAATCTGTCCTGTAAATTCGATTTGTGCTTTTAGAAGAGGGTATTTTACATAATTTGATAATGAACTCCAGAAGAAATGAAAGACATTAGAGGGACTTTATCCTGAGCCCTCTTCAAGCAACTCAGCGTCTTCGCATGTCAATAGGGACGTTTCGAATTCTCGGGAACTAAACCAACGTGAAGCGTACGCTGTCTTCTGGCTGCTTTAAAAGCAAATCAGTAGATTAAGAAAATTCCGGTAAACCGGTATTGTTTATTTAAGATTTTTTTGTTATTTTCTATGTATCCCATTAACACTCCCAGTAAATGATTTATTTAGGAATTTAAAGAGCATCCAATCAGTAGTCTTGTTCCGGCTGTATAGAAAAGAATAAACTGTAAAACGTGCTTGTTTTTGTTATCATTTTCTTATTAGCTTGTTTCCAAAATATTGATATTCCTGTGGACGTGACTTATAAATCTCTAGTATGATCAAGTGTATCGAAGCGCCTTTATACATTCAAAAAAATGCTAAAAATATTATCTTCGTCGCCACACATGTCATAAATACCTGTAGTAGTAATTGGAGACATTACAGGGCAGCAATGCAATTGGACAACTTCAGTATATCTTTGAAGAACGAAATTTTCGATTGAGAATCATGGAGGAAGACAGTAGTTCGATAGCTGTATCGATAGACCGCCAGTATATTTAACGTATCGTACAAATCTATTTTCGCAGAAACGAGCAATAAATCTTCTTGTTTTCGGATCTGAATCCTCGTCTTGTTGTCTTACAGAGTTATTCAAAAATAGCTAAATGTTATCATTCCCTTTTTAACGTAAATTAACTTTATGATTTAAATTATTAATAATTAAAATATTAAGCAAAATATTGCGGAGTACCACATACTGAATAAAGCAGAACGATGATGAGGTCATATAGATATAGATTAATACTGTTGCCGCAGGAGGTGTATGGTGTTAGTTAAAATTTAAATCAAACACCATCACCCAGTTTCCAAACGGTTGAAGACCTGGTGCAAGACATTCCTGACATAGAATTTTACAGCTAACGATTGTATTCTCCTTTATGGACTGTACAAAAACCGCACGTCGCACGAAACGATTCATACTTCTTCAAAAAAATTCATACTTCTTAAACGTTGTGTCGTTTAGCGCGTACGTGCTGTATTGTTCGCCCGCCTAGGAACGTCTGCCTGGACAATGCGTTCATTCATATTACAGAGAGGCGCGAAAGCCACCAGTTGTGAAATAGCTCGTAAGCTAGAGATTTTTCGGTTAACAGTTAGGCAGACTGTGCTTTGTTTTCTTCATCTTCTGTTAGAGTGTTAATTCTAATGAGTTGATAACTGGATACGAGATACTTAAGAGTGTGAATTTTACTAAAATGTTAGACTAAACAACTTTATTCAGAATGAAGAAATTCGAAGTTACTATTACAAGTGATCGGCCATCTACTCTACTACTTGAACTACCATCATTGGACGCGCAGGTTGTAGTGCGATTTCAGAATGGGAACTGTGAAGAAAAGGACAGAAACGTGTTAACGGCTGAGTTGAGAGTCGGTGAGCACCAAATAATTAGTGCCACTACGGAAGAAGAAAAGGAGTCTTCTGCGTCTTTAAGCACGAAGGGCCGGTAAGCTCGTTGACTTGAGTAGCACATATAACGGAGTGAATAGAGCTAACGCGATTGAACAAGCGTGTGATCTATCCAGAGTGAAGAAAGATCAGCGCTTGCTACTTGGTTATTGATAATCACGCGGTTAAATCTCCAATTGAATGGAGATGGTTGTAGAAAGTACGGTACACGATGAAAGATTATGCAGATAGAAGTGGACTGTATTTGTTCCAGTTAAGAGTGTTTTGAAGTATTTCAGTCGTTGTTTAATACAGTGTATGGTTACTGAAATGTACTTTCAGCGACTGTCGTATTATCATAACAAGGGTTACATTCGAAAGCTTGTCGCAAATACGCCACATAAATATACTTCATAAATTGTACCAGTGTTTGAAATATATACTAAAGCTGTTTAAATTATAGGTAACTGTAGGGATACTGGCCTAAGATTTAGCTATCTACAGAGGTGCCATTTTTAATAGGCTTATACATTCTGTTTATAATTTTCTATTCGTTTTTCTATAATTTTGTTTATAATTGTTTATAATCTTCAACTAAGTTTCAAATAAATTTCCGACCCTCGGGTGAAAGGTCGCATCAAGTATAGTCAAGTAAGCACTACTGCAAAGAAGATGGCTAGAATTTTACACGATATCGCCATTAGATAGGAGAGAAGATAAAATATGATTGGCTTTCTGAACTAATAACTTCTGGAGCAGAAATTGCCAAAGTATCGAACGACGTACCTTTTGGATTAAGTCCTTAGTACCGGAGAAGTGAGAAGACTATCGTGTTATTACTTCCTGTGCTTCTTCTTTGCAATCACCTTACTTGAAGATCACACATTCAGCTGAACTTCATGGGTTCAATATGTTGCGTTAATCGCAGTTAAGTGTATAATTTTTTGTCGTTGCCGAAGAAAGCTATATCTTGGAAAGTACGTAAAGGCAGCAAAAAGCCCTGCGATTATAAAATAAAATTAAATGGTTTATTAGTACGCTATATAAAAACATTTTTGTTTTGCTATCTATAAAATTGGCTTTTTACAGAAATAACCAATTTACGGATAGTTTCGCAGTAGACGTCCATCGACCCACTGAAACTTCGACTTACGCTTCTGAGAACAACAATTGCGTCTCGCATGCTGTTACCCTGGAGAGCCCTAAAAAAGTGGAAGCATCACAATGTGAAGATGACATTCAACTCAATGCCGCTATTCCCGGTATAGAATCGTTGAATTTAAATTAAAAAAAGAATAAGACACGCGTTTAAGGTATAAAAAAAACTTGTCCATTAGATGGGTACTACTAGTGAACAACAACGATAAACCAAACCATATCGACTACATTGATAATATATGTATATCTTCTTCTTGTTAGCGGGGTTCAAATATTCCATTGGCGTTGAACTAAGTATACTTTGACTATTTTAGTACTAGAACCATACAGGGTATGGGAAGTGACAAAAGAAGATAAGAAGTCGTAGACTAACAGTTAGCAAAAGTGGCCTTACGCTTGAAGCGGAATCTGGCTAAGCTATCAAGATGCTTTTTTGCTTTAAAACCTATTTCTACTCGTAGATTTACGACTAATCCAACTTAAAGCTTACTTTTCCGACTGTGTAGAAGCAGTAACTTATCGCGTTTTTAATCATCATCATGATAATTCATAACTAACTTAACAAATTCTTAAATAGGTTTATACGGGAGTTCATCTCCTGAAATCATTATCGCTACAGAGCCCCAGAATCAGAATTCATTCTGGGTTGCGGTGCCAGCCACTCAGCAAGACGGGTCGATTCTAAAACCAGCAGCGACAGGGAGCGCTAGCGATGAGGAGATCATTGATACCACAGATGATGAAGCCTTTGCGGCAGAGGAAGCGGATAATCTGACCAGGTTAGCTAATCGAAGTGTAGTTCAACTTTGAAACTTATCTTCTCTCAAATGTAAGAACTAAACCATCAAAATTATTACGGACTATAAATTTCAGGTTCGATTGAACCATCGTTAAAACATTGTGACTGGTCTTTTTTGATTTTCAGTGCTAGTGGTATGAAAGAAAAATCCTACGCAGTTCTGGAGCCGATCTCCATGGCAGAAACGCCGCATGAAGAAGACACGTCTGTTGTTGTTGAAATGACGGCTGACATCGGCGAGCAATCGAAGACACGCAACTTGTCTCAAAGACGACTCTCACAAAGGCCACTACCATCCTCTTTGCAGGTCAGTGCTATATCTACCTTGTAGAGAACTACCTTGCACTACAATGCCATTCCGTATTACAATGCTTACTCATACTGAGTACAGAATTTTCAATTCTGCACGTACACAGACACTACTACCTACTAATTAGGTCGATGCCTTAACCTCGTTGACCCGAGGATTATTCAAAACGTCTATTTGATTTCTAGTAAACAGAGTTAATTTGTGTAACTCCTCAACGCTCGATCAAACACTAAGTCGATGGTGAACTTATGTATGTGTAACTATAATTAATTTATGACATGTTTATTTCTATATGGCCAGTACTATTTCTACATGGTAGTCTAGCTTGTTAGAAGAGTTGTTCGAGCAACATCTTAATATACTGTCAGATTTCACACATTTTTGATTGCTTGTATCTGATATTATCCATGTAAGCGGAGGAATACGACACATTTTGTGAAGAGGTATGCATAAGGCTCTCTGGACAAAATCTCAGATAAAAAAAGGTGTATCACGCATTACTTGCTGTTGTTGTTGTTGGTCGTCAATATGCAAACTGATACATCAGGTTAGTTCTATTATCAGGCGGTACGCGTTGAACCCAGCGACAGTGAAGAATCAGGCAGTGACGACTCCTTCGTTGGTAGAGGTTCGACAAGCAGTCATCGCAAAGCAAAGGTTGGAGCCGCCAAGAAGTTTGTTAAGAAGCGGCTTGTCTATTTTAGCTCGGAGGACTCAAATGTCAGTGATGAAGAAGAGAAAAAGCCCGAAAAAAAAACCCTAGGCAAAAGGGAATTGCCAGATCTCAACAGTCAGGTTCGCGTGGCTAGGTGGTTCTTTAGGCTTGACGGCCGCAGCTTTTTTTTAGTTTATTTCATAATGTAGTTCTTTTCTTAATGTATAAAATAAGAGTTGAAATAAGCAACATTAACAAACTGAATGGGCAGATATGGCATACGGCTATTAGAATACAAACACAAAAATCACGCATAACGAGTTTTTAAAGACGCGCATACGCTATACCAGAAATACCTAGATGTGAAGTATCGAACGAAGAAGATAATAACCTGTGCGGCGGTTTGCTTCCATAGCTCGCGGTAGAGTCAAATGAGCAGCGTAATTCCTCCGCGGTACCTAAAACAATTTCAATGCTTGAGGTAAAACCCCAAGAAAATCTTCAGGAAGAGGAGTTGTCTCGTCAAGAACATTCTACCGTTCCTGAGACAGGTGTCCTCGCAACAACAAAAAGCGTACAGCTAAAGATACCGATCGCTTCGGCCGATGATTCACATGAAGTATTATCACCCGAAATAGATGGCATTGTCGAAGCCACAGAGCGAGAGCCAACAGTAGTTCCAGAGAAGGTCGCGGGAAACAGCAATGATTCGTCTGCTCTGCAACATGACAGCGTTTTGGTTAATAAAGATGGTAACTGACGTTTATAATTCATTATATGATTTTCAATTTTTATAATTTTCAACTTCATATTTGGAGAAACTCAGGTTAATTCATGAAATTATTTAATACATTATACAGATCGTGACGGTAGTAAGACTCGCTGCCGTCTTTATTGAAGAACGAAAGCCAGTCGCTAACTCCACTTCTACTGAATTTTATCGTCACCCCAGGGTCAGTGCAGCTAGCCATTCTCTCCGGGTCCTTTATGCAATATAGAGTACCGGGGCCAGAAAGATGTCTGATATTTCCATGCTACAATTAAGGCATTTCTTTAATGCTTTGGCATGCTTTTAAGAATGATTATAGGTGTATTCAACTATTACCTAACACAAGTAATATTTATATGTTAGAATTAATCAGTATATGTTTTTCAACTCCAATAAAATAGGACGAGATCCATAAAACATTTACATAGCTGTACTTTGCTTATTGATTAAGGACGAGGGCATACATTATATTCTAATTAATATCCACTAGTCATGACACCATGGTAAGACACATTAATTACTCTTGCTATGGCAGTTTTATAATCAAATTTTTCTATAGTAATTTACTTTGAGCGAAGAGCGAGACATCATTACACCTGGTTACGGTTTCATATGATAGGTAATGTGATGGTCACTTGGTTTTTTGTGCAGGCGAAGTTACCGAGATCACACAGAGCGATTTGTCTCCGCATAGAAAACTTTGTCGGACACAGTTAGCCGATGATTCACAGGTTGGTACTTGGATTCGAGAAACTTCAGGTGGTGACGAAAAGGAGGTTGAAGTTCCAAGCACAGAGGAACAGAGGGTGGCGGATTTGGACGGGAATTCTCATCAAAATTTTGATGGAAAAAATGAAAAATCCCTGCAGGAGAAAGAAAACGATGCAACCAGCAAAGTAAGAAAACAACAGCGGTTGCACAAAACAACTATTATCACCTTGAGAATAGAACGCTTTTGTTCTTACGTAATTATTACACAGAGAAAGCGCAAAAATCATCCTTGTACCAGCTCCGTTGTCGCGTCTAGATTAGCCGAAAGTTCTTCTCTTAAGTTATAATTTTCCGACATTAATGCAAGCGCCAGGACTAGTGCATGTCATGTGCCACAGTGTCATTTCTCAACTCATAATAATTCAACTCAGCTACGCTCATATAATATCGTCTAGAGTTCCAACTTGTACCATGCGTTTGAGTACAAGCTAACCCATTTTTGATACTTAGCTTGAATCGGCTTTCTGGTTTCTACTGTCCGATACTTTCGTTTCACTGGTCTTCGCTATAGATAGCCTATGTAGAAATCGTTTTTTCTAATCTTTACATATATGTCGTTCTTTTCTTTTTCCGCACATCAGCGCTCATCACCTTCACAGAAGAAGGAAGATTCGGCATTAAAGGCTGCGGTGTTCAACAGAGGATCGAGACTCTCTGTTGATACGCAGGAATCGTTGAAGTTGACAATACTTAGTGAGTCGTTAAACAAAGATAACGATGAGCAGATTGAGGATGGTCCTAAATGTGGTCCAAATACAAGTTCATCTATCGGTGCAAAAGTTCCTAATGAAAATGTTCAGTCGAATCTGTTCGAGTTACAAGCACCAGGCGTCAATACTTGCGATAAAGATGTCGACGAAGCACCATCTTCTGCCAGCGAAGAGGTAGACATCAGTGCGGCGACAATGTTGGAACGCCTTGAAAAGCTCAAGAACAGGAAAAGTGCATGGGAACAGGCTAAAGAGGACCTACGGACTGAAGGACTCCTCAATGACAGTAGGTTTCTTATCTAATTAAGCTTAATTTCTAAGCATCGCATTAGATTTTTGTCTCCACAGAATATGTAATCTGAATTCACAGACAGATTTGGAAATGGCTAACATGTGCACAGTGTGATATGCATTCTCTGAGAATATAATCGATACACATGTACGGTCTCTGGAATATGGTATATATTTCGTAGGCCATATACAATATGCGCACGTGTCATGAACTCATGGTATCGGTCATCTCAGTTTCATGAAATCAATAAAACTAGGCGGCGATAAAGTATTATGTATTGCATAACACTGCCTAAAAATACGTTTTCGACAAAGGGTTTAACTAATGTAACTGGTAGAATCGCCTCAATCCGATATGTAGTGACCAACAAATGGTTCCTGTTATACCAGTTAGCTGCGCTTTAGTTCACGTCCAAATTTTGTGATAACAATAATTGTCTTAGTAATCCTTTTTATTGCAGCTGCATTTAAGTGATTAGAGAGATGGAGATGGAATCATTTAAGCATTGTCAATCCTACCATTCCCTCTGCACACGCATCATCTTAGCTGATTGTGAGATTGATATTTATTTCAATTCCAAGTACTCCCTGTTAAATATATTTCTTGATACAATTGGCAATTTCTTGATACTTTAGGACGACCAGGTAAAGGTCGAAAGGATAAGGGTCGGGCAAAAACGGGTAATGACCAACGAATGGTTTCTGTGGCAAAGTGGCTAGCCGATAATGAACCCGGTATCGTCGAGGAATACCGTGACTGCCTCACGACTCTCGTGGAAATTAATAACGACAGTGAGAACGATGCCAAAAGAAAGTTAAAGCATTCAACGAGCACCTCCAAAATGGTTACCGAAACTGCAACCCGTAGTAAGTTAACTCGTAGCATGTTGTCTTGCAAAACTTAGATGTCGTGTCATCTCCCGTCCGATGTCGTTTCTGACAAAAAATTTTACTTCGGTCATATTTTGACCACAAACATCATTGTCTTTCTCTTTCCTGAAGGATATGACATTGGTTGGTTAAGTTTAAAAATTGCCGAGTGTATCGTTTTTAATAAAACTCGAGACGCCCCAATATTTTTTTTGCGATTTTCTTCGTGATACCTTCACCTTTTAGCCATATTTATGTGCTACTGAAGGTAATTATAAGTTGACAAAATGGCGAGATCTGGCAGAATATTTCTACTATAAGGTTGTGTCTGAAAATATTTTTTGAATGTTTATAGTTTTCAGCAAAACGATTTGTGCGGAGGTAGCTGTGTTAATTGTGACACTGTGGCTTATGCCAAGCGAAGGCGCACATGTACGGCATGTGTTAATAAAGAAAGGTTACCCTGGCATAACAATTCTCAATATAGTAATGAACAGCGATTTTACTAGCGGTGAGAGATTATCTACCAGCGCCTCAGAAAGAAGATTATCATCATGAATTTTACAAATGTGCCAGCGAGAGATAGAATATATGTGTAAACCCAGTGGATTAGAGACTTTCGCTGGCATTAATTTTCGTAAACTTCATTGGTTCAGTCGATGCATGCATTATTCTACTAACGGTCTCATTTTACATATTGTCAGCGTTCAATACTAGTGTGATTTTCGCACTATTATTCGTCTTTATCTGCTATTGTAGACTTAGTAAATTTGAGCAAAACTTAGTAAGTGGCCGTGCCTTGTATATCGTCTTAAGTATTGGGGTATACATGTTTGTCTACCTGTATGTACCTGTAGATACGATAAATGTTTCTTTTGAATCTTTTTGCTCAGTACGTTCGGAGTACGCCATATATTGCTCTGGCTTTATTTTGAAATACTGGATGAAATTCAGATTTAATGTTCGTTCAGATGTATTGCCTTCACAAACTATTTTCGTATAAGGTACGACATATTATTTGGCTTTCTTTGCCGGCAGCTGACTAGTGAACGGACGAGCGTTTTACAACAGTTTAATGTACCTGTTGAACTTTTAGACAATGATACCCCGATACCGACAAGCTGGAGTCGCTGTTCATCGCCGGAAGTGGAAACCGTTTCTCAAATAGAGCAAGTCACTCCTATCACGGAACCTGAAACGCCAGTTGGGTCTCGTAAAAGGTACTCAAATAGTTTTTTAGCGCAGCTATGGGCATATTTGCCTGGTTAGAAATGGCTTTATAAGGCACCAAGCTTTTTCAATGACATACCCCAGACTAATTAGAAACCATACTTTAACGCATGCATCATTGAATTTTGCAGAACCTCGTCCGAAAGTAACGGCGCTCCAGTCGCAAAGAAAAAGCGCGGGAGACCTCAGAAGGGCGCTAACATATCTGATCCACTTAGCGAAAGTAACTCCCCCACTGTTGGCGAGGCGGTAGGGTCAAAAGATATCAGAACTAAGGTCGCTGAGAGAGCAACAAGAAAGTCCACTAGAAACGTTTCCACTGGAGCATTCTCTAAAAAAATGCCTGCAGAAAACGCTATGAAGCAGAAGGCCACCGGCGTAGAAAAAAATGGTGCATTTCCATTGCAGACAAGTAGTGCTGCTGTGACAGATATGCGCGTACCGGGACCTGTATTAGTGAGGTAACTACTCTACAAGCAAACATCAGATTTACTATAGTTATTTAGATAAACATATCTAAAATTAGTTCGTTCAACAAATATATATACACATTTAGATAAATAAATGACTCTTATTTTATCTTACTCTGGATTTTTCTAACAAATAGGGTATCCTACTAATACAACACAATACATTTTTGACTGAACCCTCCAGTTCCCCCCAGAAGACTCCTATCGTGTCAACAGTTATTGCATCTGCCACTGTGGTCCTTGTTTCCGATACTGCACCACTGGAGCAGGTTACCGTAGGTTTGATTACTGGATCATCCGTTGAAGAAACTCCTGTAGATACGAAATTTACGCCATCAGAGTATTCAACTAATGTATCTACGGTAGCAGGAACACTTTCAAGTAATTTAACAACTACGAAAGACGCTAACATGGTAGTCGAGACATCGACTCCGGCAGCAGAAACATCTGCTCAGCCTGCGAGTTCTGCTGCAGCAAACGATAAGCATAGACATAGCAACCGCCAAAAATCGTTATACCATAGTCAAGAACTGAATAGCCAAAGTCCTTTCGAAAGTATTCTTGATCCAAGCCAGAATCGATATGCACTTGGTGAAACGGCTCGCGAAGTTGCAAAGTAGGTTTCTTAAGGCGTTTCTTCTATTCATTTTTTATTTCTCAGTGAACTGTATTTAATTGAAGGCTAATAAGGATAGTATGTATGATTACGAGTCTATATGTGAAACGATTTATGAATTCAGGCACACAGATATCGTGTATTAAATCGCGTAAAGAACGATTATTTCGGTCACCTATTTTATTACTCTCTGTATATTTCCTCAGATGCTTACTGCATTAACAAAAAAGTTTCAGCAAATGATTTAAATAATTAAAATCAGTCATGCTAATAATGTCAAAATTATGCTACTTTTTTTCTTTTATTGCTAATCGGCTGCTCGTAATATTGCGCGTTTCTATAGTGTTAGTCGTACACCTAAAAGAATCCCAAAGGATGTTCGACGGGTGTTTCCACCTACTGCTAAAACACCCAGATCATCGAAATCTGTAATGACAGAACAACATCAGGATACGGCGAAAACTGGCTCCACAAGTACAAGTGCGTCTGAGCCAGACAACATAAACACTAACGCTTCACCCACGACGCCTAAATATATGACAGCTCGACCTTCCATGGAACTTATTTATTCTTCGGATGATGATGTTATAACCGTTGCGTCTGCACGACGTTCGCCCATGATTACACGGCACTCGACTTCGACGCGTAAGTCTAGAAGGGAAGGCAAAGCGCTGACTGCGGCTGTGGTTACAAAACCGATCGATTCGACTCCCGAAAAAGAAGTTTTTGTCCCCGAAACGATTGAGGACGGACCGCAGGACCCAGTCGAAGGTTCAGAAAACGAACAGGAAAATGCTGTATTGAAAGAGGCCATTGTTGTACTAGAAAGCAGCGCTGTTGGCGTGATTGAAGAGACCCCCCAGGGCGCTCCTAGTACGCAAAACACGACGAGATCTAGGTGAGTTTTATATTCCAAAACTAAATGCACGTTTGAGACTGGTTAGCAAAATGCTTTTTCAAAAAATTAATGGCATCCTTGACTATGACATATACTGATATAATGAGAGATTTAAGACAAAGACGTACGCCAATCTGAAGCATTCTGGTTAAACCTCTTGGCATATTAATATTCATCTTTTTGTGTGTGCGCTGCTTGGATAGACGAGCAGCTCGCGTCAGATCGGAAGCACGTTTAAAGCGCGTGACGAAAAGCTTATCAAGCTCGAAGCAGGACCCAACCCTGAGTCAAAGCGATCCCTACGCAAGAGACACCATAGATATGGTAGGTAATGAGTTTATAAGATAACGGTGTTCGTACGGAACATTTAATGTTTTACTTTGCGTTAACTGGCAGTAGCTATATAAACTTGGAATTGATTGAAACGACAGCCACTTTTTATTTAGATAGAATAACCGCGTTTCTTTGTTTCTAGCGCACGCCAACAAGTGGATGTGAGGGAAGTCCACCTGTTCCAAAAGCACAAGGCACTCGTGCACGTACAAGGACAAGCAAACAGGATCTCGCTTCTGGACATACCTCTACAACTGCCAACTTGACGATGGGTCTATTCAGCGAAGAAATCAGTCCTCTACAGGAAACAGAGGAAAATACCGATGCTGCAAACACAGGCCAAAATACATTTAAACAACCCAATCCGCCTCCGCAAAAAACGAAAGCGACGGTGTGTAGATTTACTTGAGAAAAATTGGGTCGTATTTCGGCACGGAACGGTTCGAACGCGAGCAATAATATTTGAAAAGGATGGTACCTCAATTTCCTATTGCTATATCTCAATGTTATCTGAATAATCAATGTAGTTCAATTTACTACGCTGCTGATTGGAATTTTTCAGGAGAGAAATCGTTTATCTGAGGGGCAACCTGTCATTCCGATACGTGGTCGCTCTTCGGAAGCCAAGGGAAAACGGGCGCGTTTATCCGAGGATTCCAGCTCATTATTGTCCAAGAGGAGCCGCTCTACACCTGAATTGCCAGATCCTGAATTAGAGATGTCTATAGCGGGAAGTACTACAAGCTCTGGGAGCACCTTGAGTGTTAATAGAACCGCGAAACTCAGGGTAATGTTCACTGGTTAGTAAACTGTTATTATACCTCACGCAACAACTCGAAACGAACAAAAAAGGATTCTCCTTTATCTCGTGTCCTTATTGAGACTACGTATAAATCGATACATACGTAGCGGCTGTTAGCCTGCTTAATACTTGACAGAAGAAATATTAGAAAGCGTATTAGAATACGTTTATTGTCTTTGTATGAAATAATTAGTATAGCCATTGGTGCGTGTATTTGCGGTAACTCAAAGTACATTTTTGTTATTATCCCTGAATAGGTATCGATAACGCGCCAAAGGATAAACTAAGTGAACTCTCAGTAAAGACCACTGACATTCCTAGTCAGTGTGGGCTTGTAGTGGCCGCAAAATTTACTCGAACCGTAAAAATGATGTATGCCGTTGCCAAAGGCGTTCCTGTCGTAAACCTGAACTGGGTGACTGAGTCTTACAAAGCAAAAAAACTTCTTGGTAAGTGTGCGCCTATGCTATATTAGTTTGACATACGTTATGGCCCCGCCAAATCACAATGAGCCGGTGACTGCTAGCGATTGTAGTGAATGATTCCTTTTTGTCATGTGTAACACTGTATTTTCTATACCTCATCCAGTTCGTCATATTACTATGAGTCAAACGGCTATATTTATATACCGACTTGGTGACCTTATTGTTCGGTATAATCAGTTGTTTAATTAGGTATTGTGATCTCCAAGTAATTAATTTCTGAATCTTTATTATAACCTGCTAATTTTTCTTGCAGATATTTCACAGTTCATGTTAGTTGATAAGGCCGCTGAAATGAGATATTCTTTCAATTTGGTCGCTACCCTTCGGGTTGCGGCAGAGGAAAAGATCTTCGACGGATGGACGTTTTTCGTTACGAAAAGTTGTGTTCCTAATCCCGAGCAAATCAAGGAAATGGTTTCAGGCTGCAATGCGAAGGTAAATAATAAGCCCAAAGGACAGGTATTCTACGTCTCTCCCCCTTCCCTACATTCTCTAACTAAGGATATAGAACTATGACTATTTTGTCGTTGTCGTTGCGTTAAGAGAGCGTTTGAACATCGAAGTTGGTTAGTGTTAACTGACTCATAGAGGAGGAAATAAGTGTTTTATTTTAAGATAGTCATTTACTGACTGATAATGGCCAAGTTGATTAAGAAATGTATTTACTGTGGCAGAAAAGGTGTAGATAATTCGAAATGATCAATGAATTGTCGCATCGCTAACACCTATTTAGTTGGCTACAAGTTTTCTTCAAGTAGCTGCTTTAGAAATGACTGTAGAGTCACTGATCCCGTTTTTAGGATAAGCACAGGCATAGAAAGATCAGACCTGTATTTCCTAAGTGAGGTTTTTACATATTACACAGGTGGTGAACAAAAAACCAACTAAGGCTGCTGAGCGCACTGCTATCGTAACTTGTTCCAGCGATATAGCTTCCCTTGGTAAGAAAAATGCAGTTCCGGTGGTCGGAGTAGAATTCGTGTTAAATGGAATTCTTCAGCACCGAATAGACTTTAAAAAATACTCTGTTACTAAGTAAATGCATTCATTCGCGCATAGAGTGTTTTAGGATTTGCACGACCGTAGCCGTCTGGCGGTAACGGGAAACAATTAAACAAGTGTTGAATTGACGCATTTCGCGGTTTGTTTTGTTAAAACGGCTATTTCGGTCAGCTGAAATAACCTTGTAGCCAGTTTTGGGTTTAGTAACTACCCTGAACTATAGATAGAGCACAGTCCAGAGATCGACTGACGAAAACACTGATTTGTTTTCTCATGTCACATGCGTAAAGACTGTCTTGCATTGAAATTCTTCTCCTAAATATTCCTTCGAGGCTAAGAGAGGCTAAAACCTAGAATACTCACATTTACTAGCTCGTGCACTTTTCCTGCTTAATTTCTGAGATAATTCAATGAAAATTTACAGCCTACGCTCACGCTTAAAATTAAAAAAAAAAAAAAAGCATAGCTAGTTTATAACTTTCGTTACTCAAACAATATTTTTTATAATACCCAGTAATCACGGATGTACTGTGTCTACTCTAACTTTGAGCAATTACCTGTGCCGCTTGAAGATAGTGGACCTGCGGTTGCAATTGAAGTGGCTTTTTATCAAATGTACTTTTAGTTGAATCACACAGATTGATATAATAAACTAGCCATTCAGCTTAGCTGTAAGATGAAACAAACATGGACAGATAGTAAGAATACAGTTGTGCTCTACAAAACTACTACTTAACGGTGTAATAAATGAAGTATTTGGTGTGTATATGAACGGACTAGAATCTTCATTTTAGAGAAGACTTTACCGGAGATACTTTACGAGTAGTTACGAGTAGGTGGGCGCGGTTATTCAATACAGCCTTGTAGGTTGATTCGACTCACTTTCGTTCTGGACGTCTAGTATAATCAATTATACTATATTCCTGCCAAATAATGCAATGTAAGATTTTAGGTTCATTTTATTCTCTACGTAAACGATTTTGTTTTTTGTCAAAAAAACATACACTTTGCCTAAAAGAACCTACCAGATGTATCATTGGAAAGGTAACGTTGAGAAATTTGTCTGCCAAGCGCTCGTTTTTTTCAATTAATGTTCAATTTCGATATTCTCACCTGCCTTAGCAATGGATAAAGTAATGTGGATCCGAACACTGTGTTTCCTATGTCTCTTGATATATACAAATTAGAATGAAAGCCAGTTTATTCACTTGAGCCAGTACTAAAAGACTGCACATAGTATTTTGTGCGTTTCGTGCACTCGAACTCTACATGTTAGTCAAAAATATTTTATCGAAATTCTGCAGGCTTACGTTTGGCAACTGGTTCGACCTGAATATGCAGGTGCGAAAACATCTCGTTGAGTACGATCTGCGCAAATTCACTGTTGATAGGAGGAAAATAAATCCGACTAAGAATACCTTGACAAGCGATGAGGCAAGTTTTTCCGGTTTTTCGTTATCCAATGAATTAACCTCGGAATAATCTCGAAAAAGATGAAAAATTATTTTTTGTCTGGTCAACGTCCGGTACGCGTTAGTGCCCATTGTATGGAATCTGTAAAAAGTATGCGTTGCTACTCCAATATTGGCATATTTGGATATCGGTTGAGTTTACCTTCTACTTGACTATAAGTGTCTTGCTTCCGTAGTTAACACTAAGGTACATTAACGGTAAGAAATAAGCCTATGCAGTAAGGTAAATATCCGTTTTCTGTCTTAGTTCTTCTTTGAAGTCTTCTCATTCACATACACATCATGGCGGATTTATGACTCCTAGTAGGTTGTAAAATGCAGAAAAAAGGGTGCTACCTGCGAGTCGTCTTGGCGTAGACCGTCGAATCCATCGAATAGGGTTGTCTTTTCTGTTAAAGAGGAGACCAATGCGTAATGTTGTGTTTCCCAGCAGGGTAGAACGAATGACTGATCTACATCAACAATCTTGAATTTATCGTACATAAATCTCAGTGCGGTGAGTCTTTGCTGCTAAGAGATACCGATGAAGCGAGCAGAACTCGTAGACTGGGGTCGGTCGAAATGTGAATACTGAACTATTTAAAGAGGCCTCACATGACCAAGCAGATAAGCTCATCGTGAATACGAACTGTTTAAGGATTTGCTTGTATTGTGATTGTCGGATCTGATTGAATTTTCGAAATCATAAAACGAAAATACTAAGGGTGTAAAATCTTGGTGGTACATAATAACCTAATCTGCTTATGATTGTTAAGTCCATTAGTTACTTGAGGCATAGAATGACATCCTTTTGACAAGAACGTACCGCCAAGTATTACTGAAAGATGTTATGAAAACTGTAACTAAAATGACAAAATAGAGAATTAGTGAACGCAATGCATTGCTTATGTTGAATTTGGGTAATATTCGTTTTTTCTTATTCATACGACTACGCCAAGTCCCGAACACCTCCCAATGCCTTTGAATGTCTCATGATACCTTTGACTGTCTTATGGACTACCATTATGCTGCCCCGATGAGCCGATGCGACCTAGACGCAGACTAGATGCGAAAGCTACCTAGCTTCGTAGTGTTACACGATTCGTGAAATACTTATTCCACCATAATCCGCCATTGTGGCCTCGCCATATTATGGGGCGTATTTGACTGAAATGAATACATCCTTACTAAATGATACCGTCTTGGCGGGTTAAGACGGGCTACAAATGCAGTGAAAATTACCGATTACTTGAAGCACGATACAGAAGCGGTTTTTGCGGTACCCGCAATGCTGTGGTCACCCGCGAAGCCACCGATCAAACCTTTGGCCAAGGCGACACGCAAGACGGCAAAAGAACCACAAACTGTAATTTAACATAACAACGTACTTTTAAAAAATGTCAGTAACGCTAGAAGATAGGATTATTTCGTAATTTATTGCAAAGTACATTTTATGCGAAGCGGGCTTCCAGCAACTGGCTCATTCGAACTTTCGATTTTCGTAGAGGGATTATAGCACTGAGCAACATTCAGAGGTAGAGTTTACAATCTTCACGTTGGCCCCACTACGATTTTTTTTGGCGTGATTCTTTTAGGGGGAATTTCATACCCTTTTAGTACTATTTCGTTTACTCCTCAATGGGCAGGTATAATTTAATTGGCTTTGAGACGTAAAATTAACAGTGCATCTCATTTCGTATATGAATCAACTGCTTATTAATAGTCACAAGGTATTACCAAGTTCAATAACTCAACATACCAAATTGTATATCTGATTATTCTCTGATTAGCAGGCAGAATGTACGGATACAATTATATTTCTCCGATAGGCCGACTGGTCATGACGTTGATACAATTGGGATTGAATGTTGTTACATATTGTAATATTTCTGAAGTTGAAAGGAGTTATCTTGTCAACTATAAGTAACATTCATCAACCTGTGTTATTATGGTATTTTCCTTTTTGGTTAGAGAAAAATCTGACCAGTACCAGGGCGACTGGCATTAAAAAGCTTTATAAAGTAAAGTAACTTGAAGGTATTTGAAAAGATAATGATTTGTTAAATTCTTTGCTGCACTGCTGCAGTGGCTTCCCGCCTGCACGTATTATGAAGACTATATCATATATTGCTGCTGTCTCTATCTATATAATGTATACGTTGCAATAAATAAGGCATGTACTGATTTTTGTAGAGAGACTCAGTTTGGTTGCGATATGAATGCCTTTTTTGGCCGATCTCATTTGGCGATGTTCTATTCCTAAATTCTGCTGTCTATCCTTACGCATAGAGTAAGCAAAGTTCATATCTATTTTACGTCCCGGGGCCGTATAATCTCGAAAATGGCAAGATAATCAATTGTGATTTTTTATAGCTAGGCTTAGTGTGACAAAGGCTCTCTCCATTGTAAAATTCATGCTAAGAAAGACTGATCTTCAAATTAAAAAAGGAGAAGCATACTCTCAATTAATAACAATGCACATGAGTCCGGCTGCTGATCTATGCTCGTGAAAGGCTATAGCCACTCGGTTCCGATGTCTAGCTTATAGACCTGAAAATATATTTCGTACTCTGAGATGCGAAATAGTAATAGTAGAAAGTACGCAAACTGTTGAAATGTATTTACGTGAACGATCTGTCTTACCGGTCGCTCTTGCTGACCAAGCTGTCCAGTTTTCGATTTGTGCTGGGGTTTCTCTATTCGATCGATCTTCGAATATAACGTCTTGCAAAGTAAAAATTGTATGGCAATTGTTAGTTCCTTCCTCACATACTCACAAGTCTACATGATAAATGATCTTCGCTTTGTTGTTATTGGGCTGCGGACGTTCGTCGACCCAGTCCATTTCACCAGTAGTCCTTCGCTCAAACTAAGCTAGGCTTTTGGAAACTGCACTTCGGACTCGACCTAATAGCTGCTCTTGGAATGTTCCATCTGTCTTCGTTTATTTAGCGTCTACCGTAGACTCAACTTTCGGTATCGACCAAATTTTCCGATCGGTCTCTGTATGTTTGTTTACTCTATAGGTGAAGCCGCCGGCATCGACTGTCGCCAGATTCTTTAGAGCTGCTGCAGTAGCTTTCCCTTTTCATTGGCTGTGTCTGCCTGCTTGAATGCTGCAATGTTGTCGCCATGGTTCTTATTATTGGCAGACTTCAGAGGTAGATGGACTATCAAGAGCATACGATTTACTATGCTTCAAGCTACGGTGAGGCACGATCATGCAGCGTTGGCATTTTGTCTGTTTCTTTTCGAGTACTTTTGCTTACCAGTCAGCGGATCGTCTTGCCTTTTTGTGAGATTGTATAAACCCGTGCCACGATTATCTTAGGATTTGCCTAATGCAAGCGATGGGTTCTGTGATAGAGAATCAACATCTAATTAATCGGTTTCCATTATCGATTAGACTTATTCTCATCTTAAAACATTAGTTATTTTTAGATGTAGAGAGAGAAGTAGCAGTAGTAGCAAAAAAGGCCTAAGTCTTCGCCATATAGCTGAAATTTATGTACTCATTACAGTGTACAAAACTTGGCTTAATACATTTTTCTACTTCAGTGAGAGGGCTGAATTATGATCAGTTCTAATATATAGTTAGATATATTAATGCTTCAGATTATTTTACAAAGTGTATGAAAATATCCTCGCGTAGTTCACATGTCCTTTACGATATTACTTGAAATAATAGGCCAATAAAACGATCCATCCTCAGGTATGTCTACTTTTATATCTAGACAAATCTAATTCTTTGATGAAAACCTATTCCTGCAATCAATCGCCGTCGTGTAGGTTAGTTAAAAAAGATTGTCATTCTAGGGTTGCAGTTATCAAAACTACTGAAACTGCCCCTTAAAGGATAACTGGTGAGTTAATTTCTCTACACGTACTGTTGGTTCTCGACACAATCAAAATGTCAATCGTTTCTCCAGTCGGCATAGAGCGCGACGAATAAAAGCCAAGAAATTTGTGAGATATATTTACTCAATGCAACAACATCGACTGAAATGCAGGGAACTCTAAATGAAGGGATGGGTTAGAACTCAAGTAACTTTTGGACGCGATCATATTGCCCTAACACTTAGCTAATAGGTATTTATTTAAGTTCCAACTCCTATTTTGTATGTGGAAATTCTGTCCTGATACCTGGGAAGCTGCTACAACCCAAAGAAGTAGCTTCTGGAGGAAAATGCTGAATGGGTGATAAGAACTATTTCAGGTACAATAATCTCGTTAAAAGTAGTGGTCCGGAAGTTATTTTTCGGAAACATCATGAAACATGAAGATTAT